ATGGTAGAAGTGATAGACCAACGTGTCAAGTATGTGGGAAAATAGGCCACAAAGCTATCATATGTAACTTTAGATATTATGACAGATATACTTGGGCTCCACTATACCAAAGAATAGGCTAGAATACTTGACCCACTGCCCTTATTGCAACTCCCAGCATAGTAAATGATCCTGTTTAGTATACAGATACTGGAGCTAGTAATCACATTACCTCAGACAATGGAAACCTGACCTCTGCTAATGAATATGCTGGTAAGGAGAAAGTTATGGTAGGGGATGGAAGTAAGTTGTTTATCTCTCACTTTGGCACTACACACATTCCAGTTTTGAATGATAAGTTTCTAGTTCTAAATAAGCTTCTTAATGTGCCTGAAATTAAGAAGAATCTGATTAGTGTTTCTAAGCTAACCTTTGATAATGATGTTCATATGGAATTTCACCATGATTGCTGTTTTGCCAAGGACAAATTAACGAGGGAAGTGATAATGTAAGGAAAGCTTCAAGAGAGGTTGTATCTGCTGCATCTTCCTCACCAAACTGCCAAGAGTCTCACCCAAGAGTTGGTCTTCACAAATATAGTTTTTACAGATATATGGGACAAGCTCCTATCTTATCCACCTCAGGTTTTAAGTACTACATATTTTTCCTTGATGACTTTAGCAGATTTACGTGGATCTATCTATTGAAACAGAAATCTAAAGCCTTAAATATATTCATTCATTTCAAAAAATTTGTTGAAAATAAACTGACTTGTAAAATAAAAACATTACAAGCTGATTGAGATGGTGAGTATAGATCTTTTTCAAGGTTTTTAAACTAGGAAGGGATTGAGTTGAGGCACCCTTGTCCATATACTTCAGCTCAAAACGGTAGGATAGAAAGAAAGCATAGACATGTGACAGAAATAGGTCTAACACTCCTAGTTCAAGCCAGTTTACCCTTAAAGTACTGGTGGGAACCTTTCCAAACTGTTGTTTACCTCATGAATAGGCTGTCAACACCCACTCTTCAAAAGCAATCATATTATCAAACTTTCTATGACAAGAGACCTAACTATTAGACTTTGAAAGTTTTTGGTTATGCCTGCTACCCCTGTCTAATGCCCTATCAAAATCACAAATTTAGTTCCATTCCATCAAGTGCAGTTTTATTGGATATAGTAAGTCTCATAAAGGCTACAAGTGCCTAAGTGCAACTGGAAGACTTTACATTTCAAGACATGTGGTATTTAATGAATTAGAGTTCCCTTTTGAATCTTTAACTGCTGCCAAAATTCATTCAGAACCAACTGTGTCTGAAACCATAGTGTCTTACTTTCACTTTCCTTCTGAAACAAACAAAATTGTGTCTACCTTAGATCCTGCTGGTGCTACTCACTCAAAAGCTGTTCCTGCTAAACATCACTCACCCTTAGACTTCAATGACAATCAGCAAAACAATATGTTGAATGGTGATTCTGAAGGAACTAACGAAACATAACTTGAGGTGCTAGAAAAAAGTGTGCCACAGATAAATCAAGTACCTTTGCAATCAGGTGATTCTTTGCAGTTAAATGATAATGGTGGTAGGAAAATGCTTCAGCACAGAGCTAAAAATTTGGCTGGGCATCCTATGATTACTAGAGGAAAAGCTGGAGTGTTCAAACAAAAAATTTATCTTGGAAAACGAACTAAAATTCCCTCAGAACCCAAGAGTGTAACTGAAGCATCAATGAGTGATGATTGGAAGAAGGCAATGAAAGAAGAGTTTGATGCTTTGACAAAAGCTAAGACCTGGGAACTTGTATCTCCCTCACCAACGTTTAATGTTGTTGGAAATAAATGGGTATTCAAATTCAAGCACAACACTGATGGCTCAATACAGAGGTTCAAAGCCAGACTTGTAGCAAAGGGGTTTCATCAAACCCCGATATTGACTTCTATGAAATATTTAGCCCAGTTATCAAACCATCAACACTAAGAATCATTTTCACCTTGGCAGTAGCAAAGGAGTGGACAATCAGGCAAGTTGATATCAACAATGCCTTTCTCAATGGAGAACTGGAAGAGACTGTCTTCATGTATCAGCCTGAAGGGTATGTTGATAAATCAAAGCCCAATCATGTGTGCAAACTGAGCACGACACTCTATGGATTAAAAGAGGCACCTAGGGCCTGGAATGAAAAGTTAAAGTCCACATTTCTGAGTTGGAAATTCAAGCAATCAATAGCAGATACTTCATTGTTTTACTTCAGAAATGATGGACAAATAATTTTTGCACTTATCTATGAAGATGATATTGTGATTATAGGAAATGTCAGAGAATTACTATAGAAATTCATAAATGATCTGATCAAAACATTCACATTGAAAGACATGGGAAGGCTGCACAACTTTCTTGGAGTTGAGGCACTATGGCACAATTCAGGAATTCATCTCACACAGCTAAGTATATTACTGATCTACTTGAAAGGTTTGACTTGCAAAATGTAAAACCTTGCATCACACCTATTCCTGCTGGTAAATCAATGTCTAAAGTTGATGGAGATTCATTGAAGAATCCAACAGAAGTGCTGTAGGAAGCTTGCAATATCTCCAGTATACCAGGTCAAACATAACATTTGCTGTCAATAAACTGAGTCAGTTCTTGCAAGCCCCAACGACATTACATTGGCAAGCACTAAAAAGGGTATTGAGGTAACTCAAAGGGACAATAAATCATGGACTTTGGATTCAAAAAATTGATAGGCTCACGCTAAATGGTTATTCAGATGCAGACTGGGCATCTTGCCCTAATGACTAAAAATCTACCACTAGTTATTGTGTCTACTTAGGCGATAATTTGATAAATTGGTCCTCAAAGAAACAGCAAGTTGTGGTATGCTCAAGTACTGAATGAGAGTATAGAGCATTTGCTTCAACTACATCAGAAATTGCTTGGGTTTAGTTACTCTTATAGGAGCTAGAACTACCACTGATCGAAACTCCGACAATCTGGTGTGACAATTTGAGTGTTGGAGCCTTCGCTGCTAACCCCATGTATCATGTCAGGACAAAACACATAGAGGTGGACATACATTTCATTCGAAATAAAGTAATAGCTAAAGAATTGGAAGTAAAGTATGTGCCAATTTCAGATCAAATTGCTGATTTCCTAACCAAATGATTGAATCATTCAAGGTTTCTTTTCTTAAAGGACGAGTTTGGAGTCACTCTAGCACCTCCAGCTTGAGGGAGGGTGTTAACAGAATTAACAGAATGCTTCCACATCAGCTCCACCTCAGCAAACTGAAGCACCAGCTGGAGTACTGCAGGAGTCACCTTATTCTAGCTGTTGATATTGTTTCTTCTTGTAGTGCCTTCACTCAATTATGTTGTAAATTATTCCAGACATGATCCACTATTTTAGGAACCAACCTCCAGCTGTAAATTCTAGATTCTTCCTTGTAACAATTCATTTTCATTATATAATGTTTAATACCACAGCAATGTAGGTGACGGTTTTCACATAATTATTGTTGTTTTCTCTTCAAACTTTAACTTGCATAGAGTGATTCAAGGCCTAAATTCTGTGAATAATTTGGCTCTCGTGTAATAAAAATAGGTGGCCGGCATCCTCACCTCCTACTCTTCTTCTTCATTGTTTGTTCATTGGACTAGACTAACCATATTAGTAGCATGGGCGGTTGTTGACCGTTGATGGCCGCAATAATAACCAATGTCTTGTACTGAAATTATTTGTATCATGGTTCGAATCGTAAGTGTGGGTGTACATTATTTACCAATTTAATAATATTTATCATGTAACAATTTAAAGTTTGAAAAATGGGTCCAATTATTTACTTTCTTGTTTTGATTAGCCAATAATTTCAATCTAACAAAAAAAAATGACTATTTTAATAATTTCACAATAGGGACAAATTTTAGTTTTAAAAAATTAAAAACAAAGAAGGAATATCTATTACTTGATAAAAGAATTTATAGAATTTTGTTGCATATAATATCAATATCCACCAAATGTCATAGTGGTCAAATGTTTCATAACTCCAATAGACTTGTTCGAATCTTCCAATTGCACAGGTTTTAATGCCTATTTGCTCCAAAATGGTGAAAAATATTAAACTATAATTGCCAAAGTGGATTGCTACAATGGAGAGAAGAACCCAAGACTCCCATTTACTTATATGGTACTCTGGCCAACTAAACTGCAAGAGTTTGTTGTGAATGAAAGGAAATCATAGATATATATCCAAGAAAATAAATACATTGAGACAAAAAATTAAAAAATTGAATACTGGCGAGTATAGCACGGGCGGCCGTCGGAGCTGCCGAGTGCTAGATCCCCCGCTAACTATATTCTGTCCTTATTCATGATGTGTTCGTTATAATTTGAATTAATAGTTCTTATCTGGTGTTATAAAAAATGCCTTTCAACTCATAGTGGTGCAACAATCTTATGTTGGAGGTGAAAAAAAATTGAGGCGGCAAAGTATACATATTATAAGGTATACCTTAAAAATATATAAAAATTTCTATATAAATTTAAAAAAATTTAAGACGTTACCGGAGCGGTAGCCACCCCGCCCCCATTAGCTCTGCCCATGCTTTCAACATGAAATGCATAGCATATGTAGCTTTCCAACTTGGTTGCGACACAGCAATGTGAGAGGTCACTACTAGGCCAAAGAGGATAAAGATAAGGAGAGTGTGAATTTGGACAATTATGAATATTTCTTGAAATAAATTTAGAGAGAGACTACTATTTGTGACATCAAATTTTGTGTTGATTCAAAATCTCTATAATATCTTGTAAACTAAATCTTTATAGTTTTTCATTGCTATGTTTAAAAGACATTAAAAGATTCATAACTAATTTAAAACACAAATCCATTTTATTAGAACTTAAGAAACAAGAGAGGAATACATAAACCAGTGCCTTCAATGGAGGCTCAAAGGCATCAGTAAGAAGCATCAGAAACTTCAACTTCAGCAGCATCAATATTGTAAATGAAATTCTTCACATCATGAAAAAGGACAAGAGCTGCTGTCATATAAATTTGCCATTTCTACACCATGAAAACCTCCTGGATAAAATCGATAAACCACTGGCACTTTCTTTACCGCTAACTTGCATACAAGCTCCCTGGCCCGATCGATCATTGGGTCTCCTTCATCATCTTTCACAAACCATCTTGGCACACGTCGGACTCTCTCAAACCCACGACTGAATGGATTGGAAAATTCATGATCTCGATTGGCTTGGAATGGCAATGCTAGTGTCCAGTAGGCATCAGCCATATATAAAGGAAGGTATCTATCTTCAATAAGTCTAAGCTCTGATGAAGTCCTTTCAACTGCACCAAAAAAAGGCTGACTTAACAGAACCCCTTGTATTTTTAGCGGTCGTAGATCAAATTCACTTGCACGGAGGGCGACGTGGTAAGCTATGTTGGCACCTGCGCTGCTGCCCATTATGAAAACCCTTGAAAAGTCAGCAAACTGTTCTAACCATAGATCGCGATGAAAGCTAACTTTTTCCTGGGAATGAACCCATGAAATAGCATCCAAGGCATCTACGTAAGCTGCCGGGAGGGGATGTTCGGGGGCCAGCCGGTAATTAACAGAGGCTACCACAGCTCGAACCCGAGCTGACAAATTATTGCAGAGATCATGAAATCCCAAACTGGCAGGGCTAAGTTCCACGAAACCACCTCCATGTATGAAGATGATAATTGGAAGTTTAGTTTGTTGTGGGAGTTCCACAGGGACATAGAGTCGTATGAATGATTTGAACTTGCTGTGAGGCGGGTTTAGAGGTACGTCCTTGGAGAATGCAACCTGATTTGGCTGATTTGGGTCCGGAAATGGGGTTGCATTTACTATAGGAACTCTTTCTTCTCTGGTTAATGTCAAATTGAATCCTAGAACCTGAAATACTTCTTTCCAAGTATGGGATACTGTTTCCTTTGGATCAGCCATGGTTGCTTGGCATGACTGAAAGAAACACAAGAACAATACAATAGTGTATATTGCCACAGCATGCCATGATGTTAGCTGTTGTTCTAACATTTTTATGTTTCTGCGAAGATTCAAAAAAGGTAATGTAAGTAAAACCAGAAGAGTGAGTTTCAAAGTAGTTGCCTTTATAGCATTATATAGAAGAGATTGGAAGGGGAAAAAAAATTTGTTGGAATTTAAAATAAAGAGCATTAATGCGAAATTAAGGAATTAGGTTTGCATCATTTTCTTGCAATTGGAAAGACATGATTATCACGAGTATTTTTGCTGGTTGAAGCCTCGCGACAAAAATAAATCAAGCAATTATCATGATCTCTGCAATAATTTGCCAATTAACATACTGGGCACATTTAATTATGGGAATATTGTAGCCACGGTACCAAACCTTTCACTTTTTTTTCAGACTTTGCCTAAACCTTTCATTTGTGCCACCCGTAGTATCAAACATCTAAACAATTCACATCCGGAATCCAAATTGACAGAAACCGTTAGTTGACCAATAATTAAATATCTGACCAATTGTTGACTAATTTATAAAAGGTAAATATGTAATTTGCCCTTTTTCAAATGAAAAAAAAATTAAAGAATTAAAAACCCCAAGCTACTACTGTTCATCTACTCCCCCCTTTCCATTCCCCACACCACCGCCGCCATCACCCACCACCACCATTCACCACCATGACCTCCACCATCACCCACCATTCAGGTACCCAATAAAGCTCCATCTTCAAAATACATATTTTCATATGACAATAAGATGTTGATAACATGGAGATAATGGCGAAAGGTTAAACATCCAAATCCCGCTCTGATCCCAAATCGAGCCTAAGCATGACGGTGTTAATGGCCATTCCGTCATTTAATTTTCGGTTTTGCTACTGGTACATCAAGGTGTATATCGGCGTCTACATCACACTTACATGGGGGTGGGACCCGTTTGAATAAAAAAATATTTTATACAAGTGGGTCCCATCCCCATGTGAGTGTGATGTACACCTTGATGTACAATTCTTGATGTACAAATAGCATTTTTGTTTAATTTTTTATTTTCTGAATGCCGCCTTGTTGTAAGTTTTTGCGGCTTCGATGGTGTGTCGAACGTTCCGAGCCAAAGGCGAGAGCCACGCCATTTTGGATCCCTGATTTCAGCACCATACTTTTCCCACGGCCGCTGTCGTACCCCTCTGTAATGACACTTCTCCTCCACAGTTGAGTAGTCTTGCACCGTCGCCGTCGAGTTTGACTCAGACGACTTTGAGAAGTCGATCCAGACTAATTTCTGTAAAGGATCCGTGACACAATCAGTTTACCAGCACAAATCATGGACGCGATTGCTGAAATTATGCTATTACACCTTGTATATTAATTTACCATTAATAGACCTTAGTTTATGTATATATACATTGCAGCTCTCACTGTAATCTGTGTGTAAAAAAACCAGTCAATTTCTAATATATAAAGTATATCTTTACACCTCAATATTTACTTTTCTTTATGGCATCAGAGCTTTTTAACTCTAACGAGTACGATCTACCCGCTTCCGCCATGACTTCTCCGGTTGTTTCTCATCCCACTAGTGGTCAGACTTCTGAACAACCTTTAATTTCCATAAATACTAGCCAATTGCAGCGCCTCACAACCTCCAGCTATCCAACCTGGCGTGCTACTTTCTCCTCTCTTCTTTTTGGATACGGTCTTATGGGGTACCTTGATGGATCCCTCCCATGTCCGGCGGTACCTAGCAAAACTACATCCGCAAACGATGTTGCTGCTCGCTGGTTTAGACAGGATCAGCTCCTCTTGAATGCCATCTTGGCTTCTGTTTCGGAACAAATTGCTCCTCTTATTGCTTCGGCAAAAACTTCACGTGCTGCTTGGGACAAGCTTTCTTGCTTGTATGCAAACAAATCCCGAACCCGTGTTATGCAACTTAAAGAGGCGCTTACTCTCATGCAACGTGGTGACAAACCCATTACTGACTATCTCCACAGCATCAAATGTATTGTCGATGAGCTGGCTCTCATTGATGCTCCTCTATCTGATGATGACATTACACTCTATGTCTTGCATGGGCTAGGTGCTGATTATCGTGACATTGTTGCTCCTATCCGCACTCGAACCTCTTCCTTGACTTTCGAGGAATTACACGACATGCTTGTTGGTCATGAGACATATCTCAAACGTCTTGAAGCTGCTGCCAATACGCTGGTTGTTACAGCGAACCCAGCTACACGCGGCAATTCCTACTATCGTGGTCGTCGCAAGGACTTCACTCGAGGCACTCCATCAAGTCAGCCCCGATTCAACTCCTCTCGTGACGTTTTTCGTAAGCCCAAGTGCCAATATTGTGATACTTTTGGCCATACTGCCAAATCTTGTCCAAAGCTCTCTATCTCCACCTCTGGTGCAGCCAACTATGTTGGTAAATCACCTGCTAAGGATAATAAATGGCTGGTTGACTCTGGTGCTTCTCATAACATCACATCCGATTTGTCCAGTCTCTCCATTCACTCAGAATATGATGGTACTGATGAAGTAGTAATTGGTGATGGTAAAGGTTTATCAGTTACTCATGTTGGCTCCCTCAATCTCTCATATCCTTCACATTCATTTCATATTACCAATACTTTATGTGTTCCTGAAATGCATAAGAACCTCATCTCTGTGCATCATTTTACCAAGTCCAACAATGTACTGATTGAATTTCATCCTGATTATTTCTTTGTGAAGGATCGGACCACGGGGGCGATATTGCTACGCGGTGATTGTGAAAATGGTGTCTATCCTCTTCCGCCTCTGGCCAAAACACAGTCCTCAATTACTGCCAATGTGGGTGAGCGTACCTCCACCGACACTTGGCATCGTCGTCTGGGTCATCCTGCTCAGAAAATTGTTTCTCACATTGTTAAACAGTTTTCACTTCCTTTACATAATTCAGTTTCACCGAATAATTGTACCTCATGTCGTCTCAATAAAAGTCATAAATTACCTTTTGGTACCAGCTCCATTGTTAGTCATAATCCTCTTGAATATATTTTTTCTGATGTTTGGGGTCCCACTCAAATTCAATCCTCTGATGGATATCGCTATTATGTAATTTTTATTGACCACTATACTCGCTATTGTTGGTTTTTTCCCATGCACCTAAAATCCGATGTCTATCACATATTTACTCACCTAAAACCTGTTTTGGAAAAACAATTTGATCATCCAATTAAAAATTTCTACTCAGATAATGGTGGAGAATATATCAAATTAAAGACATACTTTCTCAATCATGGGATCAGCCACCTTACCACTCCACCTCACACACCCCAACATAATGGCATCTCCGAAAGACGACATCGGCACATTGTTGAAACCGGAATGACCCTCCTTACCCAAGCTGCCTTACCCACTACATATTGGCCTTATGCTTTTCAAACAGCCGTGTATCTCATCAATAGGCTCCCATCCCTAGCTCTAAAATATAGTTCACCCTATGAACGACTATTTGGGACATCACCAAATTATCTTAAATTACGTACATTTGGTTGCTTATGTTTTCCTTGGCTTAAACCCTACACTGGTCATAAGTTAGACTCTAAATCTCGTGCTTGTATTTTTCTTGGATACTCTACCTCTCAGAGTGCATACAAGTGCCTAGATTTAGCAACATCAAGACTTTATCTTTCACGCCATGTACAGTTCAGCGAAAATGAATTCCCTTATCTTCGCTTACAACCACCCTCTGACTCTATCCACATGAGTCCACATACGATGGTCTCGCCCCACCCAACAATTGTTCCAATAGAAGTGCCCAACCCATCCACTATTCCAATTGTTGAGTCATCCCCAAACCCAACCCATTCACATAACTCTCAACAGCAATCCCTGGATCTGAGTCCTTCACAGACTACATTTGCTACTTCTCTGGACAGTGGCCCAAGTGCTACATCTGGCCTACCAGACCCTGCAGCACCAGTTCGCACTCATAACATGGTTACACGAGCCATGAATAATATCTACCGACCCAAGCAGATATACCAAGTGTCCAAACATTCACTACCACCCGCTCCTGAGCCCACTTGTGTATCACATGCTATGAAGGATCCCCTTTGGCGCCAGGCCATGAGTGAGGAATTCACTTCCCTATTGAAACATGGTACTTGGACCCTTGTCGAGAAACTCCCTCATCATAACCCCATTGGTTGCAAATGGGTCTATCGCATCAAGAGAAAACCAGATGGCAGTATTGATCGTTATAAGGCTCGATTAGTGGCTAAAGGGTTCCACCAAAGACCTGGCTTGGATTATAAAGAAACTTTTTCTCCTGTAGTCAAACCAGCTACAATCCGCACGGTCCTTACTCTTGCTGTGTCTAAAGGTTGGCCTCTTCGTCAACTAGATGTTAACAATGCATTTCTCCATGGCACTTTGACTGAGGATGTTTACATGACTCAACCACCTGGTTTTGTTGACCCCAACGCACCACATCATATATGCAAGCTTCATCGGTCTCTCTATGGACTCAAACAGGCCCCGCGGGCTTGGTATCATGCATTAAGTGATTGTCTCACTACAATGGGGTTCTCTCAATCTAAGGCCGACTCCTCCCTATTTATCTAACATATGGATGATCTAACTGCTTATTTCCTTATTTATGTGGATGATCTCATTCTCACAGGAAACTCGAGCACCTTTCTCCAGCAGGTTGTCACTTCTCTGGGCAAGTTCTTCTCTCTCAAAGATCTTGGCCCATTGAGTTTCTTTTTGGGTGTTGAAGTTATCCCCACCACCGACGGTATACTTTTATCTCAGCATAAGTATATTAGAGAATTGCTCTCTAAAACAGGTCTTGACAATGCAAAAGAGGCTTTAACCCCAATGTCCACCTCTGATGTTCTCCGCTTGGATGACGGCACAGCCACTGTTGATTGCACTGAGTACCGCCGGGTTATTGGTTCACTTCAATATCTATCTCTTACGAGACCTGACATTGCTTTCCCGGTTACTCGCCTTGCTCAGTTTATGCATAGACCAACGGTGACACATTGGACAGCAGCTAAACGGTTATTGCGATACCTTAAAGCAACTCTTTATCATGGTCTCCAGCTACGCAAAGCTACAAGTCTTCATCTTATTGCATTCTCCGATGCTGACTGGGCAGGCAATATGGATGACCGAACCTCTACCTCAGCCTACATTATTTATCTCGGGGACAATCCTATATCCTGGAGCACTCGAAAACAACGTGCTGTTGCCCGCTCCTCCACCGAAGCTGAATACCGTGCTCTTGCAACCACGGCTTCGGAAATCGCATGGCTCACTTCCCTTTTTCAAGAACTCCAGGTGACTCTCCCTGCTGCACCGAAATTATTTTGTGACAATATTGGTGCCACTCAGCTTAGCTTAAATCCTGTTCAACATTCCCGTATGAAGCATATTGCTATTGATATTCATTTTGTTCGGGACTATGTTAACAAAGGCCTGCTCAATGTATCTCATATATCTACCCGTGATCAACTTGCGGATCTCTTGACGAAGGCTCTTTCAAAGTCCCGCTTTCAAGAACTTCGCACCAAGATCGGTGTTGCCGATGGAAGCACCGTCTTGCGGGGGCGTGTAAAGGATCCGTGACACAATCAGTTTACCAGCACAAATCATGGACGCGATTGCTGAAATTATGCTATTACACCTTGTATATTAATTTACCATTAATAGACCTTAGTTTATGTATATATACATTGCAGCTCTCACTGTAATCTGTGTGTAAAAAAACCAGTCAATTTCTAATATATAAAGTATATCTTTACACCTCAATATTTACTTTTCTTTAAGAATTAGTGACGAGTTTTGATCAATTCCTAAATATTTTTTCAATTTAACGTGTTTGGCATGGATGATCCGTAGAAGAGTATTAAGTACCAAAAAATTGAATCTTTGTTGATTATATTGTATAATCTTATTTAGTATCGCGTACTTAAATGCATGCATAGAATATGCCTCCATTATCCTAAAAATCATTTGAATCAAAAGAGAAGTCCGATATATATGTTAAAGTTAATAGGATTCAACACGATTCAGACTTTACAAAATACATAAAGAATATTTTGGTTTATGTACTATTAAACTCATTGTACCAAACATGTAACATACGAGCATCCAAATCACGACCGATCTAATGAAGATTGGTTAGGTATGATCAATATCTACATTTAAAGCTCATTAGATTAGTTATCTGATATTTTGTTTTCCATCAAATTAATATAGTTGACAACATAAAAAGAATTCAAGGGATAATGGTAAATTGTAGGGATTGATTGGATTTGATGTCACAGAAGTGTATTTAATTCTAAATTGGTATGAATTTATTAGTCAGCTAAGAGCTATTAACACTTGGTTTAATGTCCTCCCCAAATTCTTTTATAAAAAAATTACAATTGCATGGGAACTTATCCATTCTGTTCTTATGTTATATATTATGATAAAGGAATGTTTGAAATTCATAGCCCTTGATTTATACATATTTACTGTAAGTGAAACTAAAATACCTTCTTTTTTTCATGGTAGAAACATTATTTCTTTTTATGTTATTTTTTCAAAGAAATGTAACTATTACAGCTTATTTTTTTGAAAGATTGTAACATTGACTTTGAATTCTACAATAGTTGCAATAAAAATAAAATATTCAATATTTTCTCTCATACAATATTTTAATAAAAATGGCAGATATTTTTACACGTAAAAATCCAAAGGTTAAATGTTCAGATACATTAATGTCTAAAATCTATTTAAAAACAAAGCATTAAGGTTCCATTGTTTATCATATATATATGTCAAGACTCAATCAATTTTTTTTTAACCTTCTTATAAGGAGGCAGTAAAAAAAAACTAGATAACATAGTTCTCCATTGAACCGGTTAGTTGATTGAGTTTTTCGTATGAACGAAAAATATTTGTCTCATCGTGGAATCGTGACACATTATGTTGACTCTTACTTGTTTTCTATTTATATGTGTTTAAATATAAATCATTTATAATAAATAAATGAATAAACGGGACGATAAATGATAATTATCCCCACCCGGCCAGCCTCCTCCCAAAAATCCCAGAAGCCCCGGGGAGGGACGGGGGATGGGTCGACCCGTACTATTCTGTTACCATCCTTAATTATTAGACATTGTTTTCATATAGATGGATATAACCTGATCAATTTTCGTTATAATTGTCTTTTTTTTTTCATTTGAATTGGTTAATTATGATAGAACAAGTGAACATTTATTTGATGTGTCGAAGTCCAAATTCTCACCGTTAATGCTGAGCTGTTTGTGGACATCGAAATAATCTTGTTACTAAACATGTCCAAAAGATTTAGCAAAATAAATTATAAAAGTGACAGGTATGAACACCCATAAATCTCTCCACCTTTTCTACTCTTCTTATCAAATAGGAAGCTCATTACCCCTTCCAATCCTCATCCCTTTGAAGTGTTCACATCAATGGCTGCAATAGCATGCAGCTGATTTCTCTTGTTTTGTTTTGCTTGAAAATAACCCCTGATGGAAATTGGAGGAAAAGGTTTTGTCTACGGGAATTTAAGAAATAATCCTCCTTTTTTCCAACCAAAACCTCCATTGACGGCCATAGACAAGTTCTTGTCATCTCAGAACAATTTTTATTACCAGAAAACATTAAACTCTGTGCAAAACCAGTCACCCCTTTTTCCTCCAAATCTGTTTTCTGATTTTTCTTCAAATTTTTCAGCACATAAGCTTCCTGAAACAAATTTTGGGAATGGGATTCTCCCTTATGCAGAGGTGGCTTGGAACCAAGATGAACATGTTAATGGGAATTCAAAGGAAGTGAAATTGACAAGTGAAAGTTCTAATCCAAGAGAGACGAGAGAAAGGGGCCAGTCTGATGGTCATTTGATCAAGGGTCAGTGGACAGATGAAGAAGACAGGTACCCGTTTTCCGGGATAGCTTTCCTTTTGTTCTTTTAGATCGATGTGTGTGTGTGTTTTTTTTTTAATTCGTTAACTGATTTTTTATTATCTTTTACTCTAATTTGATTTGACGCTTGCAATGCAGGAAATTGATTAAGTTGGTAAAGCAATATGGTTCAAGAAATTGGGCTGTGATAGCTAAGAAAATGGTCGTGAGAGCAGGAAAACAGTGTCGTGAGAGATGGCTTAATCATCTAAGTCCTGATATCAAGGTTTTAATCTTAATCTCAATCTCGCTTTCATTTCCATTTTTACTGTTCTATGGTCTCTTTTCTGATCTTCAGATGTTGCCCCAAATTTCATAAATGACTTTGTATCTCACAGGAAAATCTTGAATTGAAAATTTCCTTGAAAGAATTTCTAGGGTTTGGGCAGGTTTTTGCACAGTATATAGCTTTACACAGGACCACAGACTAGATTTTTTTTTTTTTTTTCGTGCGTTATTGATCCGGTTTGCATGTATATATTTCTTGAGTTTCTTTACTTTCAATTTTAATTCTATGATGATTTTATGTAATTTAAATGATATTTTTTGTTCATAAAATCATTTCAGAAAGACGTTTGGAGCGAAGAGGAAGAGAGGCTGTTAATCGAAGTCCACAAGAGGGTTGGAAACAAGTGGGCTGAGATTGCCAAACACATCACTGGAAGAACTGAAAATTCAATAAAGAATCACTGGAATGCAACGAAAAGAAGAAAGATTTCAAGGAGAAAAATCAAGAAACCAAGAGGGGTAAATGGAAAACGACAATCAACCCTGTTACAAGATTACATCCAGAACAAGTATATGAACAACGGTTCCGGCTTCACATCCACCTCCACCACCTCATATGCAGCCGCCACCACCGTTACTCCTCCCAGCTCCAACGTGCCTGAGGCTGAGGGCCAGTCTTTTTTTACTTTCGAAACATGTGAGGAGGAAATGGACTTCATGAAAAACCTATTTGGGAACAATGATTCATCCAACAATGCTTCAATAGTGGATAAGGGCAAAGCCATGCTGTACCCTCCTGCTGCATCAGAAACGAACATGCAGATAAATGAAGATGCATTTCTTTATCCTGATATGCTAGATTCAGACATTGGCTTAACTTTGGACTTGCCAATGAATCAAGATACCTCCTTGATGGCAGATCGGAAGTGGATTTAAAGGGAATGGTTTTATCTTGCCAGTCCTCTCATCCAATGGCTGATTAATAATAGCATTACTATGTAATTCTTGTCCTTATGTTCTTAATCAATCAAACTTATCTTGGTTTCTTTACTGATAGCTTGATTGTCTGTTTGACAAGTGTACTAAAGAAAATAATTGGATATATATAATATCGAGTATGTCTTGTCTAATATTATGAATCAAACACAATTTCTCTTAGACAACGGCAAATTATAGTGGCTTTATTATCTACTTCTTGTACTTTGGCTTATGCTTTAATCAAAAATAATATTTTTGTTTCTTTCTTGATGGCCTGATGGGTTTTTTTTGAGAAAAAATAAGCTAAAAACTTATTCATTAAGCTATCGTCTAGAATGTATAGAAACTTTAAGACGTTAATATTTCAATTTTGAGCATGTTTAGGAAACCAAAAGTCTTCAAAAACGTTGTAGAAAGTTATAAAAGGAGTTATGATTTCATAGTGTTTCAAGCAAAGTTAGGATTTTTCAATGTTTTCAAAGAGTTTTGTATATTACTTCTCTAAAATATAGTGTTTCAAGTGAAGTGTAGTGTCGCATTTTGATCCAGTTTTCATTTATATGCAACTTAGACCTTCGTAGGTCCATGTCATAAAGTAATGTTATTCATTATTAGTGGTGATCATCACCAGTTTATGTGATAGTGGACCCCAAGTTTATTGCCCAATAGGGTTATGATGCATTTAATGCACTAGAGGAGCTAATTGTCACCTAAATTGGTGATTATTCATATTAATGATGAATGGTATTATTCAAAAAAAAAAAACTATGAGATTCAGACAATCTATGAATTTTCATTGTCTCCAATTAATATAATTATTGTGTTAGAAAATTTTGAATGATTGCGCAACATAATCTTTGAATGCTATAACCTTATCTAATACTGACAACATACCAAAGTTTTGAGGACAGTTACAAATCTGTTTAGATTTGCAGATTCAGGTCATCTGGGGTAAGATTCAGACAATCTATGCGTTTTTTGTGGTCTGTCCTAATAATTGGTGTGTCAGAAAATGTGAAGGGTTTTTTTCCAGTCTGGTTTTATGTTTTTCAGTTACTGCTGCCAACATTCTTTAGTTTCTTCCTATGTTTTCCTGTCTGTTTTATTTTAAAATCTTCTTTTTTACTAGAATTTTGTTCCTTTCTAGTGAGATCTGATTAGCTCATTTACAGAGTGAATGTCAATGTCCAAAGAATTAGGTAAGACTTAAAATATGAACAACCCTGTTACAAGATTCAATTCAGTATCAATTCAAAAAATAGAAAAGCCGTTTGAATTCGAGAAATTCGAAGTGGATTAAAATTTAGTCGAAAATAAAATAAAGAAAAACCCATTATAGAAGCGTCGTAATATTTAGTCGTTCAAAGTCAAGTGCAGCACACATAAGAAAAGTCTCCCCGTGTACCAAAGGTTTGGGATGGTGGCGCCAAAAAATTAAGTTTTGGAACACATATTGTGCTTTTTGCAAAGGTTAGGGACCCAGTTTAAATTTTCCCTATTTTAAATCATGGTCTAGTAAAATACAATTCAAAAATATATTTGTAGCATGTATAATTTCTTTGTACTAAATCGTAGGGCTGTATAAGTAAAAAAAATAAAATCATACCACTAAATTAAATTTAAACTGCCTTTTCGAAATCGATTGTTTGTTAACACATGGAAAGGGTATAACAACATGTTTATGAACCAAGTAAAAAATTGTTTCGAGACAGTATTGATTATGTTTCGATATTTTAACTATGGTTTAAAACTAAATTGAACCGTTTTAAGAATTAAAAAATGACAAAAAAATAAAAATAAAAATGAAGGGAATTGGCACAATGATGCTAACAACCCATGGCTGGAATTATTTGAGTTACCCAACTAACTGTTTTTTTGTGGTTTACTAACTTGGTGCAAAAACGTGTTTTGGAGAAATGTTTAAAGCCGTGTTTTAACTTACCTGATTAATGGACGCCCAGGATGTTGCCATGTGTCATCTCCTACGCCTTTGGATTGGAGACCATTGGGTGACCCTTATAAGGGGCTTCTAGGGTTTGCAGAGTACACATTGATTCAGATATTTTTCTCTTTTTCCATGCCGTTAGAGAGCCTTCTTCTCCTTCTCTCTGTTGAAATTAAAATACTCTATTGATTTCGTTCTCTCTTTCAAATGCTGTAATTTTAAGTGATTCTATTTGAGCTGAGTGCTTTGTTCTTGTGTGAACTGTTGTTTGAGTGAAGTGAGAGTTATTTGTGACATTCGGGTTTATTTTGAGTGTCCAAGCTTTGTAATCCTTATCTTTGTTGTGATTTCACTTGAATGGTGGTTGTTCTTTAGTGGCTGAGGCACTGATCGATTTTTTTGGGTTTGAGGGCCTTGATTAATAAAATCTCTATACTCTTCAATTTATCATTGTTCGATTTACTTTATATTTTTGTTGTTCTTGAGCTAACAATTTGTGTATCTCGTCCAAACAATGTTCTTTTCTAGTTATGAAACCAATGGTGATACTGATCCCAATTTCCAGCAAAATTAGAAGACAAGTATCAACCAGCAAGTACCCTTTCATTTATATCAACCATACAAGAACTTGTTAAGCTAGCTAGCCATATCTTGTTCTTTTCTTCTGAAGGAATAATTTAGAAATACAGAACCAAGATTAAAGAAATAAAAATAATAAAACGATTTCCATTTGGGGCTAATTTTAAACTTGTACGTAATACTAATCAGTCATACAAGAACTTACAATACATACAAAATTCTTTATCTAAAGCCAAGTTATATTATAACCTGCAGTTCTTAAGCATTTTTTTTTTGGAACCCCATATAAATGACTAGAAAATTAGAAAAACAAAAAAGGACAGTGAAGAGAAAAAAACACACACACCCACCCACCAAAATCGAAGGGTTCTGCTTGGAGGGAAGATTTGGAAATTGGAACTGTGGTAGAAATCAAAGTTTACATGCCCTAATTCTTAACACTTGCTGTGATATCAAGCTCCTCGAACCTGCTGAATTTGTCGAAAATGCTTTTGAGCCATCACATTACTTTCAGTTGCAGCATCATTTTTCTTGTCGTGTGACACAGTTTCAGCTCCATCTGGGCTCTCAGATTTGATTAGAAGTGAAATAATATCAAGAACACATCCCAGAAGGGGTATTGAAGAACAATAACTTGTAGATGCAGTTTGATTTGCATTCATGGTTTAAGTTAAGCCGATCAAATTTGGTGTGCAAAAGTGGTTTAAGAATATTGAAGATGATTGCTTTAAGCTTACGAAGTAGTATAAGCCAAGCAGAAGCAGTACTTATAATGGGTGGGCGGAGAGAGTAACTTTGTCAAAAGTTTTGATTCTTGCGTAGCAAGTTCCATTTAGGTCAAATTAGTCACCTCTATTACTTGGTCCTCCTGTGACTAATGGCATTAGAAAAGTCCATTTCTTGCTCACCAATCTCTTGTTTTTCGTTCCTTTTTCCTTTTACCAAATATGCGGAGGTATTTTATTCATTCAACATTTATGATACTGATGTTTGGTTCAGCTAAAAAAAAATTGGATTAAAATTTTAGTTAAGTCAGCAATTAATTTTAACTGTACATTTCATGGGTCTTCAGCTTTTCAACCATAAATTTCATGAGCTTTTATCAAAATGTAATTTTTATGTAATCCAAAAAGGGGCAAAGTGTGTCATGCGTTAGCTAGTATGGAAAACTTTATTTACATTTCGTCTCACAAAATTACGTAGTAATTAGGAAAATTTACGTGAGTATTTGTTTTCATCATAAATACATTTGGAATGTGTTGTAATAAATTTAAAAAGTTAATGATTAATATTTTACATTGAAATGGCTATTAATTTAGATATAAAATCATTCAATTTGACGTTGTAAATAGGGTCGTGCTACCCCCGTGTACCCGACCCCACAGCCCCCCCTCACAAAGGGGGGGCCCAGCATTTTTTTATTCATGGGCTGGCCCCCCTCATTGTGAGGGGGGCTGTGGGGTCGGGTACCCGGGCGTGTAAACGCCCGGGTACCTCTAGCAAAATTCTTGTAAATATGTAAAAGTTGTGAGTAAAGACCTCGACAAAGCTTGTGTTAAGTTTTGAATAACAAAAAATGGCACCACAATTGGTGATCACAAAAAATTACAATTCCTCATCAATTTTGGAGTTTGGACTTCATTATCACCTAAAACGCTCTTAGACACCATTGCTGATAAATAGAATTATTCGAAAAAATACATATGAACGGAGAAGTTTTAAGAATTTTTAACTAACTTATCAGTTATTACTGAAAGAATTAATTAATTTTTTATAATAACCGTGGATGTCCGGACCAATTTGCGCCCATCTCGACTAATCACACGGGGCCCTGAAATTTACGGTCGGGTACTCACCTCAGTGGCCATGAGGAGACTCGAACTGGTGACCATTTGGGAGCAAACTCAATTCCTGATCAATTGAGCCACCTCTTAAGATTAAAAAAAATTAATTAAGTATTCTCAACAATCAAGTATAAACTCTTGCAACAATTTTCGGCTTAGTTTCGACAATGCAAATATAACTTATTAAATAGAAAAATTAAGTATTACTGTTTATTGAGAAACAATTCATGTAAATAGATAATTTTTATTAGTGAAAGTTGAAAGAATTAACTTGAAATTACGAAATTTACCTTATTTATTATTATCGAAATTGACCAGTACAATCGAGACCCAAGTAATTTAGTTTATTCGAAGAAAAGGGTAAAAGTTAATTATCGAAGATGATGCAGCTGGACCCTTTTCTTTGAAAAATGAGGCACCTGAGAATCCTTTCGGTTTTAATAATTAATCTTCATCGTTGTTTGAAAATAAAGTCTAAGATAAAATCAAGCAATCATATACAGTTATCTTACCTTAAATCAATCAATGCTTTACAGTTGTCTTGGATAAAAATTCATGATAAATTTGGGAAATTTTTACCAACTTTATTGAGAAACCTTGGTCGTGAGAGTAGAGGTGTCAATTCGGGTGGTTCGGGTCGAGTCTGCCCACCAACATATGAGACCAGAACGGCCCGCGTGAAAAAAAGTCCGCCTGCTACAGGTTTCGGGTAGGTTCCGGGTTGACCCACAAATTTTGGACTACAACCTAGGCCCGTCCGCTGACCCATCCGAGTCGAGCCCATACGGGTCACGAGTCGCGATTTATTCCGATTTGGCACGTATTATTGTATAAATAAAATTATTGAAATATAAAATTTTTCATATTTACAGTAAAAAATATTTTTTTTGTTAAATGTAAATTAAGAATTGAATAAAATGATAAATTCATATTTATACCAAGAAATGTTTACATAGAATTCAAATTTAATGTTACATGAATTATTTATAACTTTGCAAAGTTAAATTTAATTTAAACAAATAACAACTAAATGCATTTCTAATTACTATTATCAAATATTTATAGTATAAGTATATCCCAACAAGATTGTCACATACTTTTATTATAATTTATAATTTAAGTACATCCCAACTAGATTGACACTTACTTAAATCTTAACTATAATTTAATTGTTAAAAAATTATATATTTTAATATTTGTTTTCCAACAGCTTTAATTCTCTTTTGTTAAAAAAGTGTAAACGAGACACAATTAAATTTATTAAAAAATTAAAAAGTGCAAACAAATCCCAAATAAATTATTAAAAAATAATAATAATAATTTTTTTTTAAATAAGAGGATATATTCATCATTTCACAACTCTTTATTAAGAAATTAGATGAAAATGAATAGAAAAGATGAGGTTTAATTACCCCAATGGTCACTGAACTTTACTTAAAGTTTCCACCAGGTCATTGAATTTTAAAAACTACGCGGTTAGTCACTGAACTTTTGAAATTACAACCACATCCATCACCAAACTAACTTCCATTAAAAAACGTGACAGAACTGATGATGTGGCTTACAGAATATCTTACGTGGCACGTTTGCGAGTGACGTGGAATTTTTGGTGATGGATGGGATTGTAATTTCGAAAGTTTAATGACTAACTATATAAGATGTATAAAGTTCAGTGACCTGGTGGAAACCGTAGTTAAAGTTCAATGACCTGTGGAAACCGTAGGTAAAGTTTAGTGACGATTAGAGTAATTTACCTAAGTTTGAAGCTAAGTTGCTCCGGACATTTATTGGGAATCTTTTTATCGTAATACATCAAAATATCTTACTAGTAAGTTTGTTTATGGTCCCAGAGGCATCGCAATGCTAACACTATTTTGGCATCTCTTGTTGACAGGTTTTGTGGTGTCAAACTAGTTAGTCTGCTTACATCATTATTCTTTTGTCCAAAATTGAATAGCAAGGAGATCTAATTGACATTTCTTTTTCAGAAACCCTTCGTTGATAGTGAAGAGCATCTTACAGAGAATGTTGTATCTATGATTCTGGCTAGTGATAGTTTTGAGCAATATATTTTAATAATCATCTTAACTACTTGTGAAGATGAAGCTACGGTCTTACTACAAAATTCTTTTGTCCAAAATTAAATAACATGGAGATCTAATTGACATTTCTTTTTCAGAAACCCTTCGTTGATAGTGCTGAGCATCTTACAGAGAATGTTGTATCTGTGATTCTGGCTAGTGATAGTCTTGAGTAATATATTTTATACTTTCCATGTCTGGGCATGTCCCAGGCATTTATGCTTTAAACTGAATTCAACATCTGGACATCAGCAAGCAAATTAATCATATATGTGCAGTTGAAACTTAGTCATTATATGTTGGTCATTCTTCGATTTAAGAATCCTTAGAAGCAAACCAGGAAATGATTTTTTAAATAAAATTCCCCACCATTTATAAAGTTAGTTTTTTGTAGTAAAACAGCAGCTCCATGTTCACAAGTAGATGTGATGATTGTTAAAATATATTGCTCAAGACTATCACCAACCAAAATCACATATACAACATCATCTGTAAGATGCTCAGCACTATCAACAAAATTCTGAAAAAGAAATGTCAATTAGATCTCTATGTTATTCAATTTTGGAGAAAAGAATTATGATGTAAGCAGACTTACTTGTTTGACACGACAAAGCCTATGAATAAGAGATGTCAAAACAGCGTTGGCATTGATGCCTTTGGGACAATAAACAAACTCACTAGTCAAACTATTTTGATGTATTACGATAAAGAGATTCTCAATAAATGTCCAAAGCAACTTAGTTTCAAACTTAGGTTAATTACCCTAACCGTCACTAAACTTTAACTACGGTTTCCACCAGGTCACTGAACTTTACTTACATTTTCCACCAGGTCACTAGACTTTATACATCATGCGGTTAGTAGGTTAATTACCCTAATCGTCACTGAGCTTTACCTATGGTTTCCACTAGGTCACTGAATTTTACCTACAGTTTCCAACAGGTCACTGAACTTTATACATCTTATGTGGTTAGTCATTGAACTTTTGAAACTACAATCTCATCCTCACTAAAAATTCCACGTTACTCACAAACGTGCCACGTAGGATATTCCGTTAGCCACATTATCAGCTCCGTTAAGTTTTTTAACGGAAGTTAGTTTGGTGATGGATGGGGTTGTAGTTTCGAAAGTTCAGTGACTAGCCACGTAGTTTTTAAAGCTCAATGACCTAGTTGAAACTTTAGGTAAAGTTCAGTGACCATTGGGGTAATTATCTCAAATGATGATTTGCGCAATCAAATGTGGAATTAAGGATGAAAATGTCAAAAAAAATAAAAGATATGGACGTTTTCTACTATAATAGTGGAAGATATGGATATTATGTACTAATTATCCTTTTAATAATTTATTTGGGGATTCATTTGCGCTTTTTTAAAAAATTTGGGACTATGATTGTAATTAATTTTTTCTTTTTATTTAAAAAGAAGGGTATATTTGTCATTTCATATTTTTTAACTGAGAAAATGGATGAAAATGACATATTGCGCAATGAAAGGTGGAAATAAGGATGAAAATATCAAAAAAAAAAAAAATGAAAGGTAAGAATATTTTCCACAATAACAGTGAAAGATGGGGACGTTATTTGCGATTTACCTTTAAAAAATATGTGAAGATAAAAATTAGGGCAAATTCCAACTGAACTCCTCGAGTTTTGCGATTTTGGATCTCCAACCTATTTAAACTATGAATTTAGGCTTCCACATAATGAAAAGCAACAATTTGAATGTTTAAATCATGCGTGGCTTTCAGTTAATTGGAGATAAAGATTATGTTAAGTAGTTTGAGTATTTTACCTTCTAACTGTGAATCATGTGGAAGTCGCTTCTAATTTTATTCTCTAATGATGGTTTTGATCACATGAAGATCCAAATTCACAAATTTATGCCCCTATTTGGTTTGTATAAAAATTAAAATTTTTAATAGATTTTGATAAAAGTTAGTGAAATATGTGGTTGAAAAGTTGATAAATATTCTGAATCTCGTGAAATGTATAGTTAAAAATGAATTCTAAAAATGAGAACCAAATAATGACTAAATCTCATTTTTAAAAGTTAGAGATTTCAAATCACGAGTCCAACCCTAATTTATCGAAAAGAATTATGCCAAATGTACAGAGGCTTTTTTCATAGAAAAAATACAGATACTCACATGTGATGTGGGTCCCACCTAGATTAAATATTGTTAAAACAATCGGGACCCACATGTTTGTGTGTTTTCTGGAAAACTTCTGTGACTTTTTTCCCTGTAATTATAGCATAACTGATCGAAAATACTAGTTAAATTGACGTTTGCGAATAAAAGATAGGGGGAATAATCTTAGTGGATCCAAAGATAAGCATTTTCTTTGTATCTGTCTAGCACTAGTTCTTGCTTTGCATCATTGTACGATGATTATTTTATGAACATTTTTTGCTGTACTTTTTGTCTAGATAGTAACTGTTTTCTTTCTCTACAACTTAGGCCGTGACACGAGAGATAAAATCAATGAATTAATGGTCAAATAATCGAAAGCAAACTTGCACTAAAAATTTTCTTCAGAGTTTTTAGGAAAAATGGGATAAAGATAAAGATCTTGCACTAAAAATTTTCTTCTTCTAGTTCTTCGACAAGCCAAGCAAACTTGGCTTGTGAGGCCAATGAGCTGACTCGTTTGAATTCTTGGATGGACTCGTATTTTCTCCTTTTCTTGGCTTGCTTTAGTAATTTCTATATAGAAAAGATTTGCTTATTTTCAACTTATTTTATTAATTTACAAAAATATGACCGTCACGTGCACCGCTCGACCCAAGAGGCCCACGAGCCTAAGATTTGGACATGACACAAATTGAGCTCGACTGTCTAAGGTCCAAGCCGAGTTCATTGCCACCCACAGGTTTAGCGGGATCTTCATTTCTCGTACCATTTCATTTACAAGAGCAATAATTCATCGCCACTTTATTAGAATTGCAAATCTGTACTGAAAATAAGCACTATTATTTAACAGGAACACGGTAAAGAGCTTATACATCCACGCATGTGTTTACGAGTACTAGGAAAAAGATCATCTCAAGCAACGATACCATCATCAAGGTACTAGAGTGCAAACATAAACTAGGTACTTCAGCACGCTACATATCTACATAGTGAAACCTCCTTTCCGCAACAGCTCTTCATTCCATTTTTTTAAATTCAGGGTGGTGTGAAACACGCCTCTTAGAAGAGTAAGATGAAATTGCTGATCCCGTAACGTTAAGGGAATGCTGGGCTAAACATATGCTTTTCTTTGTCACCAGCCATACGGTGCAGAAGAATCCAATCCAACCTGAGTCCCACATGAAAAGTTTACGATAGTTATGCATTATATGTGTAATAACAAGTCGAGCAAGATGATCATTTAGCTTATAAACACCGGAACAAAGTAGAATCTACGTTTTCTTATAAGTTGTTATAGCATACAATAGATATTGGCTGTAAGTAACGACAACAGAACTGGCAAGTGGCAGTCGTCATCTAATGTAAAAACAATAGAGATAACATACTTGCACAAAGGTATCATTCTGAGTCCATTTCTTTTTACTTCATTTAAAGAAGACACGATTACAAGACATATTCAAGAGGAATTGGTTGATAAAATAGACTTGGTTACAGACCAAGTGCTTGTTTGGGAAACATTATAGATTATAACTTAATGGTTGAAGTCAAAAGTCATTTTAGCCACATATTTTATAAGACCCACAACTACTACCCTCACTTATCCACAACTCATTTCTGTCACATTAGAATTTCTGCAACTTATAATTTATCGAAACAAGCACTAAGAAAGGGACAACTTGTCAGTTAGAAGTTTAGAAGAGCAGTTTGGAATCTAAAGATTTTAAGTTGCAGAAGAACTCAAGAGAAGTTATACAAATTGCCATTTTTAGTCATACTCGAAATAAGAATTATAGTAGAATCAAAGCACAGGATCATATTGTTCAAAAGAATTCAGGTTCAACTAAAAATAAGGTGAAGGACTTGAAAACAATGTAATGGGATAAAACAATATTGAGTGCTGAACCATAAAACAAACAATGTCCAAGATGACGAACATAGGAAAAGTGATGACATTAATGTGGATCGTGACCATACTAGAACAGATGAAATAAAATGGGAATATATCTTAACTAGAAGAGGTGCACTAATTGAGGATTAATTAATAGAAATGTAATGCTTCAACAAAAATGACTGTCAATAAAGAGTCTCATAGTTCAACCCGTACAACGAAAAAGACTTTTTTTCTTCTTCTATATTTACTTTGAAACATGTTTAAATATGTGCGAGTCCAAGACAAAGATTGTTGAAACAAAATAGGCACTGGAAACACGACAAATACAGATATGGAAATTTTTAAAATTTTTCAAATACTTTTAGAAAACATAATCAAAGAATCTAAGTAGATTACCTGTAGCTATAACAACAGCAGTAACAGCTAAAATTGTTGCTGTGGAAATGACACATACAGCTACTGACAGTGCGCCAACATAAATGGCTGCAACACAGGCAAAGAAAAGAGCCAAGAACCCTCCTGCTGCCACTAAGGACATGAAAAGAGAAATGACAATGGCATTGACAGTTGCTGCAGCAAAGAAAAGCATAAATACTAGCAATCCAGTCAATGTGAGGAGGAAAATAGTCCCGACCTGCAACAATTATAAGTATTTCAGAGATCAATGTAGGAACATTCTAACAAAATATACAGGTTACGAACAGAACAAAGTCTGAAGTAACTGGAACTTCAATTTCCAAAATATGATGCTCCCAAAGGGAGTATCAAGAACCTAGCTAAACTTGTATAAGTGAAGAATATTAGAGGCATGAAGGGATTAAAGAAAAATGCAAGTGGTAAGAGAATATGTCAATGGGAAAAGACTAATTTCGATCAGAGTTCACTGGCTTCTTACTACAACTTTATAGGCAGAAAACAGGCACTTAAAGAGTAAACAGGAAATATGGACAGGGTTTAAAGGGTTGATTCAATGTAAGAATCAAATGGCCAAGTGTGACCCAGAATTATACAAGGCATATTTCTTCACATAGTGTCCATCACATGACTTCTTCCCTCTAGGATTCAAACCACTACACTCATGAGCATGGCTGGTAAAAACCTTCCCGATGATAATCTCAAATCTATGCTGAATCATTTTCAAAACAATATAATCATGAGTATGATTAGGAAAAATGCTTCAATCAGATATACTGGGATCTATGCTGAATCATTTCAAAAACACCAGATTCACGAGTGTAACATAAAAAAGTCTTCATCTGATAATCTCCCATCTATGCTTAATCATTTCCAAAACTCTAGATTCATGAGTGTAATCACAAAAAAGCCTTCCTCTGATAATCTCCCATCTATGCTTAATCATTTCCAAAACACTAGATTCAAGAGCATAATCGTGGAAATGCCTCCATCTAACAATCTCCAGTCTATGCTGTATCATTTACTAATTTTGCACCTACAGTTTTGACCCCTATACATACACCTGTCCCTTGTGAAGTAGATGAGAAATCAACCCACTTGTATATATACATGCATGTTAAAAGAAACAGTTTTACCTTCTAAGAAGCGATAAAATATTAATATTTTACTAACAAAGGTAACACCCAAATTGATACAAGGTATGTTTCTTAGCTTCTTGATAATAATAGAACTATTTACCACCAAAAAATTCCATTCACACATCAAACTTAAAAGCTTCTTAGTTATGGTTTGCCCAAATTTGAGCAAAAAAAAAAACAGAAATTTTCTCAAATTTTAATGCAATAGAAAATCCCACAATTCTATCAAATTACCATAAGCTAGATCAAATTCACTAGCCCTTAGTTAATCCTACATCAGATGAAATCGAAATTAAAGAAAACAGTCAATAATTATTCCTAAGCATGCATCTATTCTAAAATATAGCCGTATCAAAGTTGATACTTTTTACAGCATAAAAATTAAACTTACAGAATGAAGTTCCACAGTTTACTATGTAAAGGGTAAAACCCAGGTGAATATGAAATTAACAGTGGTGTGTGTTGGGCTACTCCTCTTAATAAGAACGGACCAAAGACTCTGTACACTAAACTTACAGAGATGACAAGGAGGAGGCGGAAGGGGCTGCCACGGCGAGCCCAGGAAAGAACATGGCGACCAGTGTTCCTCGAAGCGTCGGGAAGCAGAGGAATATTTTCAGAAACGGAACCTTTGATCCGGTGCAGCAGAGGAGCAGAAGCATAACTTGAATTTGGTCTCCTAAAGAAAATTGCGTTGATCAAATTGTTGAAAACAATGTAAAGAGTCACTTCTCCCTTTTCTTGATGGGAATTTTTCTTGATTTTTGTATGAAACCCAATGTTTTCACTGTCCCCTGCACCCTCGATCGAAGCCCCATTCGTTTTTTCACTAGAATCCGCCATTTTTCACCCACAGTAAGCTTCGCGTTACGAAAATCAAACACACAAAACAATGGCCGAGTGTGAATTTAATTCATTTGCTCACTGACTGACTCAGCCCGATTTTATCTGCCGATTGGGATTGACGCGATGGGTCCGCCACTCGTCGGCAGTATTTATTGACCTGCAACTTGAGATCTCAGCCTAGATTTTTGCCAGGTGTCGAGGAGTTAATTTAATCAATGTCCACTCAATTCCACTGCTTGTTGATCCATCTTTGAAAAGTTTATTGAACTTTATCATATATTATTACTTTTTAAAAACTTATTCGTTGTTCGCCTAAATTTGAACAAAGTTAATCGTTGTTCATCGAAATCGAAATCGAAATCTAAAAAGTTACTCATTATTCATCGAATGAGCAATGTCCACTCCATTAATCATTTAGCAAAATTCAATAAGCAAATAATAACCTTTTAAATTTTGATGGGTAGATAGTAATTTATAGTAAAGTTTAATAACGATTGATTAAATTATTGAGATTTACAAGATTTGACCGGCCCGTTTCTTTACTCTTTTGAATGATTCTTGTGTTTATTCTCCGGGCCAATAGAACGGCCACACACAACCAAATTTGGCTCAAATTTATCATATTGACTTGCTATTCAATTTATTATTATTTAAATAGTTTAAGAATAAATTATTAAAAAAAAAAAATTCTTTGACACACTAAAGAAAATCTTAAATAATTATCACTCATTGACTTGTAAAATTTATTTTTCCTACATGAAAGAATTTGTTGGAATCCAACCCTTCAATAAAATTGTACCGATTTATACAACATAAAAGGAAAATTAGGTGGTGGTTTTAATCAATTATTATATTGACAGACGGCATTCTTCGAAGTTTCAAATGTTTTTAACAAGATTGTTGTAAACTAATAAGAGTGTTTTTACACGTTTATTGGACACTTAAAATAAACTTATAATTGATGAAATGAGCGAATTTCGACCCACAATTGTGTAATTGTGGCTTTTGTGGGCAAAAATCTGAAATTGAAAGAGAACAAGCAAAAAGGAAGTGAAGAGGTATCAAAAGCATGCAAAAATATGAAGTTGTGGACCAAAGTGCACAAGTGCTGAAAGTTTAGGACTTCAGATGTAATTTATGGAGGGTGAAATTGATTTAAAGTCAAAATTCATGGACCAAAATGAAGAAAATCAAAGTTGGAGGACGGTGTACAAATTGTTTGAGGACCAACTTGGAAGATGGAAATAGTTGAATTCGAGTTTGCGAGTCCGACACCTTGGCCGATCTCTGTCAAAGAGGAAAAGTAGCCATTGGTGCGCGCTTGAGCCAAGCTGACAAATGTGCTCGGTACAAAATTAGGGACCATTTTGTTTGAATCAGAAAATTTCAAGGGTTGCTATGCAATTATTCTAGGGCAACTTTCTTAGGGTTTTAAAGACATAAATGCATCCATTTTTCCTCATTCCATATTCTATTCTTATTTTCTTCGTTTTCACTCTCATTTTTGGGATAAAAAGACCAAGAATATGAAATAAAAGAGGGAGACAAATCAAAGGAACTGGAGAAATTTTAGGGAAACCAAGATCAAGCCTTCAAGAATCCAACCACAAAAAGGGTTTTATGATTAATTTTGTGTTTTCTCCATTATTTTCTCTTAATTGTAATGTATTGTATAAATCTTCTCTTTTTTATCAAATATATAAAATTGGTTAAATTCTTGATGTTGGGATGATTAATTTAGTTTGACCTAGCTTTATTGATTTTAGAATGATTATAATCATGTTATTTACTATTGTATTTTATACATTATTATTTATATGGTCAATGAATGATTATTTTAGTATTTTGTGCATCGTTCTAAAGAAGATTGTGCATTTTAAACTAATTAGGGTTAATATCGCCCGAGAGACCTAAAATCAAAAAATCAGGTCTAACATACTAAATAAATAATTTGTTAATTTGCGTGTGTAGAAATGAATTAGGCAACAATTGAGTGAAATCATGAATCTCATCTACTTTATCCACCTGGCTCCCCTAATTTTAGATTTGTTACTTTGTAAAGTTTTTAAATAGTTTTATTATTTTAAAAATCAAAATTCAGAAGATTCCCCCATCTATTTTATTATTTGAATGTGACACGTGCACTTGCGGTACATAATTTCAACGATAATAAACTAGATTCCTTTATGAATTGTTAAAAGTCCTAACAATACACGAGAAGGCAACAAAGCATTGCGAAAATACTAAGTTCGTGTTTGGTTCAATTAAAAAATTAATTTTAATCACGTATTTCATGAGATCTATAACTTTTTAACCACACATTTTATCAAAATATACTAAAAATCTGATTTTCATCTAAACCAAGCAGGGCTAAGCGTAAACGAGAGCAAAAGGGAAAACGCAACATGCAACTCATTCTCTCTCGAATTTATTAATTATGATACGATAAATTTCAATATATTACTTACTGAATATTATTGTGTTTATTTTGTTTGTATGAAATTCTATAATACCAAGTTAATTGAATATTATAGTGAAATAAAACAATACAATAATACGAGGTGACAAACGTGTTCAAGATATTTAGTGCCCACCTGTCTTGTGTATATGTGTGATATTAGACTACATAAGCTTTCAAGAAATTGAAAACCTCATGCTTTAGTCAAATCTTTCATTCTCGAGTAATGAATTAGTCGATTGATGAGTTGATCACTTCCCTTATTTTCATATAGGGCATAAATTTAGAGAAAATTACACCTTAGATTATTATTATTATTATTTTCAAATTCATGTTTTGTTTAACCAAAAGAATTGATAAAAATTTAAATCAAAATATTACATTTAACTATTCATTTTATAGTATCTATAACCTTTTATCAATTTTTAAATCATTCATTTTATCAACTTTTATCAAAATTTACTAAAAAATTGATTTTTTTTAGCTAAACTAAACAGGGGCTAAATTCTAAATCTATTATTTATATTTTTAAAAATCTTAAATTAGTAACTTTATTTAACCGACACACTTACAAACACTCACATTCAAACATTATAAGTGATTCCACCGCTTTCGATTGTCCCCATTGGACCTACCATAGCATAACTACCATTAGACCACCACGACCCTTGGTAGTGACAAAATAATTATAAGCAATGTCTATGTGCGACTAAATCTTGTTCACCGTTTAGAGATTTGGAGGGTGGTTGAGTTGATGATGAAATGAGTTTAATCTCACATGTATAGTTCATATTTAGGAAAAGACATTGAAAAAATGAAGAGGGCAATATAAGTGATGAAAGATTATATTTAACATACTAGGGATTAGGTATTATTTGGGAAAAGGGACTTTAGGAGTTTGAAGTGCATAATTAGATTCGTGTATAAATCAGTGGAATTTAGAGTGAGTAACACACACTAAAAAGTTGAATATATGATATGTAGAGTTCGTGAAATAATTGTTCATTCTTATGTTTGTTTGAATTTTGAGATTTGGATATTTACTTTGAACATTGAATAACATATGTTGAGTATATGTGTTTAGAGTTTAGTTGAGTCTTTCTTTTACTTCATTCGAATGGACGAACAATGGTTCAAGTTTTAAGGTGTTTGATAAGTGTGATTTTATATCTATCTAGACCATCAAAAGTGGATGTTAGAGAGTGCTTTAATATTGTAGATACATAATTTTAGTTTTTTTGATTAATTTAAGAGAACCCCTGATTTGGATGTGAAATAATGAAAATAAACGAGTTTGGATGAAAAATGATTGAAGTTGTACAAATTTTGGAATTGGAGATCGAAGGATGAAGTTTGGAAGTTGAAGTGCTTATATTGCAATATTATATGTAGGGTTAGACAAAACTTCCGAACCGAACGATCTTTCTTAAGTTAAATACTCAAACGATCAAAAGATTTAGTTTGGTTCTTGATTCTAAATCAGAAATCGAAGAACTGAATAAGAATCAAATCTCCTTAACTTTTTAAAATTTTATATTAAGCCTTTATTTGGTCCCTATTATTTTCAAAATACATTTTCTCTTATTTTCATCCACATATTCTTTAATAAAATAACATTATATGCAAATTCAAAAATTTCCTTATTTTTTAACCATACATTATCTATTAAAATACTATTTTAAAATACACTTTGAACAAAAAAAAAAAAATGAGGCTCAAACAGGCTATGAATAAGCCAAATTATTTTTAATTTTTCTAAATAAATTTGTCAACTAATTAACTGAGCTCAAAAATATAATTTTCCTATTTATAATTTCCAGCCCAAACCCAACGTAATCAAATTGAAGTTGCTAGTAATAGAGATTTTGACATTTTAAATTGGTGGAAATCAAGATTTTTCTTTATCTATATTTATTAATCATACTTTTTCAATTTTTTCTCGTAGAGTTACAAGTGAAGCAATTGATGATTAATTTAAATAGTTGGCAAGTACTAGCAATATTTAAAATATTTTATTTCTGTAACGTCTAATTCATATTTCATTTTTTTATGTGGACTTGAAGGCTTGAAGCAAATGAATCAATGAGATGAAGTCACCAATGTTTTGATATTATTATCTATTTTTTGGTAATTTGTATACATTGGTGAATAAATCTTATTACAGAACTTGTTATTTGTATAATTTAAATTGGATTGCTTTATTTTATAAGATTTAATATTAAACATGTCATTAATTGAATTATTTTAGTCTTGTTATATATAAATATTTAAAAAATTTAATTATGGTACGTTGGATTTAGCAATAGATCTTAGTTTTGTCAACCTTTTTTATGTCCTGATAATAGAGAAATGTTAGGGTCATTGGACTTGGTTATAAATGTTAGTTTTATAATAATGTTGGAACTATAATTTGTATTATCACTTAATTTGCCCACATAACTTTACAATCCCGACTCTGTCCCTAATTACTAGACCATGTTATTGTACCCTGAAGCCTATGTGATCGCACGGATATGGATAGTTATTACGCTTTCACATCACGTGGAACCAAACTGGACACCACATAGGATATACATTCAAGTATAATAATTGTTCATCGCCTTGTCGAAGAACATCTCATACTCGCCTCCACCTTGGTATTCTTGTTTAACGTCTCTCAATGGTATCAGCCAGTCCCAGCCAAGGTCGAGGATAGAGTCCTCAGGCCTTAAATACGGCATCACATGTCAATGGAAAAATGATAAGCGTGAATTTGACACTTATTTCAATCATGATATTGAGTCATTGTTAGTGTTCTTCGTGTTTTCCTTTTAACAGATGAAATGATGAAAACTAGTTTTTGATGGTTTAATTTTAATTACTACGTTGTGATATTGAAATTGAGTTTGTGTTGAATTTTTATTGTTTGTTCGTTTACATTCGTATTTTTGGCTAATCTACAAATGATTTGTGTACTTACTTTGAGAGAGAGATGTGATTTGCTTTCTTGGCACTTCCAATAAAAATTATGAATTAGATACAAGGTAGAGATATACTTTTACTATTTAAATGGTCATATAATTGAATTTCTTGGATATTAATGCACTCTAACGCTTGTTGGAATTCACATAGTGATACAGAAGGTTCACATTAGGGTAAGTTCGATTTTGCTCCATTGACATTATCAAATAACATTGTAGAGATTTAACCATCAAATAAATGAAGTTTCGTCAAACCGTGATAATTGAAATTAAATAGGATTACTTGTAGCAATATCCTACACGAGTGATTTTGACATGAAGGTCATGGATTCTTGTGGAATCAATAGGGACGAGGTGAACCACCAATGAGGAGATTATATGCACATCAAGCCGATTTGATATTCGGAGATCTTGAATGTGGCGCAAGATCCCTTCGAGGTGACCCAAGTAATGGGTCAAATATATCGCGATACACAATTTACTTTGTCAAGGTTCTTTCCAAATGAGACTAACTCTCTCCAACACGATGAAAGTGTGCTAATTAGAATAATGTTAATATAAGAATGAGACTTTAAAAAAAAAATTGAAGGCGTAAATGCGACGGTGAGCAAAAATTTTAAATCTTCATTGCAACTATTTATCATTATAATGATGGAATATCAATGATATTTCATCGTTATAATGATAAATAGTATTATTCATTAAAATGTGGTGTAGCAAACAAAAATTATATATGATGCAAATATAATTATTCTAATTATAAAGAATTAAATTAAGCCCCCGTTTGAGTCCCATTTTTTTTTTTTATTCCATTACATTAATTTTTTCTCTCTCTTCATCTCAACAATACATTCTCAAATAAAATAATGTTACACAAATCTAAAACTTTTCCACCACACATTTTTCCATCATCTAGTAACACAAGCTAAAATAGTAAACATTATACTTTCATCATTATTGATGGCTTTTCTGGATTTATTTGAGTCCCTCTTTTTGAACCTAAAAGATGAAGTATTGAATGCACTTGAACATTCTTGTAAAAAGGTTCACAATGAAAGGGATATACTACTACTACCGTTAGGAGTGATCATGGTAGAGAATTTGATAATATGTTTTGAAATGAGGGGAAAATTTTTTGCACTTTCTTATTTTTTAAAAAAATATGAAGAAAAAATAAGTTGTTTGGCACTATTTCAACGAGTTTTTGGACATAAAACTGTTATTAAATACAAAATAAGATAAATAATGAAAAGTTGAGAATAAGAATGACATGAAAGATTGTTAGAGACATAAGTACTATGATGAATAAATATTAAGAAATTTAAGTACAATTAAAAGGTGGTGCAAGAAATAAAAAAGGTAATTATATCACCACTACAAAATTTAATTACTACACCACAATTTTTAGTATTTTTCTTATTTACTTAAATAGTCTTAAGTAAAATTATNACATTAATATATTTGCTTCCAAGAATTTAATATTATAGTTGCAGATGAAATTATGAATAACAGACAAAATATATTTACAAATTAATTATTAAAACTTTGTAGGCTCACGTACACGTCTTTACGAGTAAAACTCGACAAGATAATTGATAAATTTTGTTATTACTTATTTTCTTTAATTCAATTTAGTCAAGTTAGTGTATTGCGATTCTCTCGCATTCTAATATATATAGGATATAATTATGCCCTTGTTTGAGCTCTATTTTAATGAAAATTTGGGGGAACTGAGTTTTAAAATACTGATTTTATGGAGAATGTGATTAAAAAATAAAGAAAAATTTTCGATTTACGTGTAATATTATTTTATTTAAAAATGCGTGATTGAAAAAGAATTTTAAAAAAAATTATGAAAATGAGAATATTATGATTTGGGGTAATTGGCGCAAAATGTTCATATATTTGCTTGTTTTTGTGGAAAATGTCCCTACCTTTCGTTTCTTGATGCAGAACGTCCTTCCCTTTCTTTTTTTGCGTTAAACATCATATTCCCTAATTTTTAACGTAAAATGACCGATATACCCTCCAATTTAAATAAAACAAAAAGGAAAATAAAATACAAATTACAATCTGCTCCTAAACTTTTTTTAAAAAATGCAAATCTATGGACGTTTTGCGCCAATTACCCTATGATTTGCCATGCATCCGGACATAGGTAACTGTAATTGTTTATTAAATTCTGCCTTTGTTATGCTAGAAATAAAAGGTTCCATACATATGAGGGCTAGTTGTCTTCAAGTGTGGCCATCTAAACTGATGTTCTAGTACCACTGGTGTTAGACATCATTATTTTTTATATAAACGTTTTTCCGGCTCCAAATTTGAGTTTTTTTTTTTTTTTGAGGAAAATATAAATGTGTACATAGCAGTAAGTGTGTCGTGTACGTAACGCTGATTTTTCTTCTTTTTAACTACATATTTTTTAATAAAATAATATTACACGCAACTCAAAAAATTTGCAATCATTTTTAATCGCACATTCTTCGTCAATCTGTTATTCCAAAATGTATTCTAATTAAAAAAAAAATGGACTCAAACATGCCACAAAGAGACTAGCTAGTTGCCCTAAAACTCACTAATTGGGTCCAAATGGCATTTGCAAAATAGGTTGGAGAACTAAGCCAACATTTGGTAGAGATTGTTTTAGAATGGATTTTATGATATGTTATTTTATTTTTTCAAATAATGGGTTGTTAAAAGAAAGAAAAATTATGAATCCACGTATAAAATTATTTTATTGAAAGAATTGATTGAAAATACGTTTGAAAGAAAATATTTTTTAAAAGAAATAAGAGACAGACGTGAACTAAATTATTTATTACATGTTTTCATGCTCTTAAAATAGAAGACACGCTGTTACGGTCAGGCATCAAAACAACGTGCCGTTTCAAATTTGTATGTTCATACACTTGTACATTAATATATTTGCTTCCAAGAAATTAATATTATAGTTGCAGATGAAATTATGAATAACTGACAAAATATATTTACAAATTAATTATTACAACTTTGTAGGCTCACGTACACGTCTTTACGAGTAAAACTCGACAAGATAATTGATAAATTTTGTTATTAATTATTTTCTTTAATTCAATTTAGTCAAGTTAGTGTATTGCGATTCTCTCGCATTCTAATATATATAGGATATAAGTTTGCCCTTGTTTGAGCTCTATTTTAATGAAAATTTGGGGGAAATGAGTTTTAAAATACTGATTTTATGGAGAATGTGATTAAAAAATAAAGAAAAATTTTCGATTTACGTGTAATATTATTTTATTTAAAAATGCGTGGTTGAAAAAGAATTTAAAAAAAAATTTATGAAAATGAGTTTTAAAAATGAGAATATTATGATTTGGGGTAATTGGCGCAAAACGTTCATATATTTACATGTCTTTGTGGAAAACGTCCTTACCTTTCGTTTCTTGACGCAGAACGTCCCTACCTTTCACTTTTTTTTGCGTAAAACATCATTTTCCCTAATTTTTAACGTAAAATGACCGATATACCCTCCAATTTAAATAAAACGTCCATACCTTTCACTTTTTTTGCTCAAAACTTCATTTTCCCTAATTTTTAACCTTAAATGACTGATATACCCTCCAATTTAAATATAACAAAAAGTAAAATAAAAGAAAAATAAAAAACAAATTGCAATCTGCTCCTAAACTTTTTTTTAAAATGCAAATTTATGGACGTTTTGCGCCAATTACCCTATGATTTGCCATGCATCCGGACATAGGTAACTGTAATTGGTTATTAAATTCTGCTTTTGTTATATTAGAAATAAAAGGTTCCATACATATGAGGGCTAGTTGTCTTCAAGTGTGGCCATCTAAACTGATGTTCTAGTATCACTGGTGTTAGACATCATTATTTTTTATATAAACGTTTTTCGGGCTCCAAATTTGAGTTTTTAAGAGATTATAAAAGGTGAGAAAATTCTTATAAGTTATACCCTATTTTCTCCCGTATAAATGTGTACATAGCAATAAGTGTGTCGTGTACGTAACGCTGACCTTAAAAGATGAACTATTGTATTTAACCCCTCAAATTCTCACCTAACCCCAAGCTCTCATATAACCACAAATTCAAGTCTGAACCAACCTTTCGCCCTCACAAGAGGGTAACATAAAGAAGAATTAAACTTTCGAATACCACACCGTGGAACTTCATTTTCCCACATATTCCATCTTAACTTATCAACATTACTTTGATGGAAAAGAGAAACCCTAGAGGAAGTGTTGATGAATTGTCCTTAGTTAAAGCAGCAGCATGGGCATGGTACCAACATGGGTCCGGCTCCGATGGGAAACCTGTGCCTGAATTTGATCTTACGAGGTTTAAGAATGTCCCAAAACCATCAAGGTACAAGTTACAAGCCATTAAACAAGATCAAGAAAATACAGATTCATCTAGTTCGACACTAGGTGTTTCGAATAATTCTCTTCTTGATAAGTATGAGATAGAGAGGATATCAAAGCAGCTTGATTTGTATATAAAGTCTAGTCATTCTCAGCACTACGGCGGCTTTTGTACCAGTGATTCGGCCGAGAAGGGAACTGCGGTGGCAGTCGGGAAAAGTGACGGCGGTATTGGAATGAAGAGTGAGCCGAAGAAGAAAATGAAAGAAATATCAAAAGGGTACTTTTGGTTTAGGCATTCTGTGATTTGTGGTTCAACACATGATGTGGTGAAAAACAGAAGTTTCGGACATCTACAACGTCTGCGGCTGCAGGAAAAGCACGTGGCGTGATTCCCATAATAGCAACGAGCGAAGGTTGGTCCAGGGCTAAAATCCTTAAAATACAAAATGTCAAAATAAGTATATTACTTGATATTATCACAAATAATAGTGATCATACAAATAATAGTAATCATCACTAGTTCAGGTTACGATGAATTCCTTACTTCATTAGTGAAGAAGCATTTTAATATGATGAATCGTGAAGCTTACCACCAACTAAAGTGTTTCGTCTATTACTATTCTCGTCGTCGTTTTCTAGGTGTCTAGGCATCCCAGTTGAGACGACCAATGCCTAGCAACAATCAAGTCGGCCATGCCCAAGTTAGGTGGTGGTGGTGGTAGGTGGGAATTAAGTCTAAACTACCGTGGAGTTGGACATCTCATAAGTCATGAACAAGGTTGATAGTGGTCCATATTGTAGTGCAACGTTTTTGCCACATCTTTTGTCGACGTGCACAGACGGACAGACCCATTCCACAATCGAATGTAAATTAATCATTCTCTTTTGTTCCATTTTTATCCTTTTTTATTATGTCCTTTCTGCCGTTTCGATAATATTAGTTTTTGACCCATGCAATGCACGGATTGTGTTATTTTGAAGGTTATGTTAGGGTCTTGAATGCTAAGAATTGATGAGAGCTTGTATTACAAATTTAATAAACACATTTGTATAAAAGAAATAATGTTTGATAAAGATGTAAGGGACAATCTAAAACTTGAACAAAGAGAAAACAGTAATTTACAAGATGGAATACAATAATTTACTTGAAAATAATAATTTCATCAAGTTTCTTTTATCCTCAACTGATATAGAAATGAAGAAAAAGTTCCCTGCAATTGAAATAAAAACATGGAAGAAGGTAGCAATTACTAGTCAAAAAAACAAAATCAATCCACCTGCAAGCTGAATAGGAGGCTGACCTAGGTAATGGTACAAGGATGAAAAAACACACAATAAGTTATAATAGAACAAGAAAATATAATGAATATCCATTATAGGTAGAAAAACCAAAACATGTATGATATGTATGAATGAAGCAGTTTGTCATCACCACAACCTAACAGATTTTGTTGACTTAGAGAAATTGGCATGGCTTGGGTCTCAATGGAAGTAGAAGTGGTATATACAAAATTCTGAAGAAAGAAATTAAACAGTAAACTTTGAATTAGAGTCTGACAAAAATAAAATAACATGATGAATTGAATTTTTATGTGCAAAACACACTGACCTCAAAAATTACTACCAAGATAGACTTCAAAGTAACATATTATTTTCCTAGTTAATCAATGTCACAATTGGTAATATGTGCTAACACAGTGACTCGAGATTAAGAGATTGCTTTTAGAGATAATGATAGCAAAGAATTAGCATGCCACATAACAACATTAAAAGATCTTGATAGACTACAAATTGTACGAATACACAAACCGTGGATGCCTTTGGGAAGATGGCATTGTTGCTAGTAATAGAAAACCTGTGTCCAATCACATAACAAAATGTCAATGAATATATTCAACTAAAATAATGAAAAACATTATTAACAGACTAAAGTAATGTCAATGAATAAGAAAAACACAGAGATCACTATCTACAAAATCAATTTGTACTTGTTTTTATGCTTTAGTCTTATCGTATTAAACCTATCAAGAAGTCCAATGGATATTGTATGGATAAAAAACTTACTCAAAAAGGACGTGTGAAATGGTATATTGGTATTACCACTTACACCGATATGACATCTTTTATGGATAAATTAATATTTTATTTGCAGAAAAATGTAGTGGATAGTCTGAAAAACAATGGAAAATTGTTTTTTTGAAAATTATACTGGGTACATTTATCAAATGTTGGAAAAATACAATGACATAATGTATTAGTTCTTAATAAAAAATTTATATTTTATTTTTAAATAGTGCGAACTATCTGTGGTTAATGGTTTCAGTAGAAATTTTAGAGATTTGCTTGTTTTTGCTCTCGATAACGCTACATATAACTGACCATGACAGAAAACTAGTTCTGGAAGATAAAAACAGACAAAATCAAGTGTTCCTAATTGGAAATTGAGTCATTTTAAATGGAATCGTGGTTCAATCAGATTCAAGGGGTATAAAATAAATTCTTGGTAAAAAAAATTTGTTTTCCATGATATTCACCCATTTTGATTTCAGCAAGAATAAAGTTTCTCTCAAATTTTCGACAAATAAAACGTATTCCATTGCCAAACCCCTCGGAAGGATTAATATTCCACAATAACATTACTGGATAATTTATCTTAAGTTTCAATTCATGAGGTGGAATATCATTTGATGTCAAAGTATTCAAGAAATNATTTGATGTCAAAGTATTTAAGAAATCTTCTTGCACGCACTGTTCTGATTTTTCAATTGCTTCATCAAAACTATAGTATGTGAAAATTTGACCAGGAATTTGTTCAAGCAGAAGTTTGTTAATATAGTCAACACATTCATTTGTAGGTGTTAGAATAACACGGTTTACCATGGTATGTAATTGATCGACATATGCTTCTATATTTGGAAAGACACAATGTATCAAAGTTTGAACTCGATTCCTCATATCCGACTGCCTTCGATTTTGTTGTTGACGAATGAAAGCATTATATGATTTATTTGTGCTTTCGAAAATACTTTCAAGCTCTATAAAATCAGGCTCTTCATTATCAGTTTCCAGAGAATTCATCAATACAATAAATATACCACTGGTTTGAATAAAATAGAAAATATTTTATTAGCCAAACAACGAACAAATAATAATAATACCAACTTTAGCACAATGTGAAATAAAATTGATGGATACCAGTCAGACTTTGCACAATGTTAACGAACGAAAATCAGATTAAAGTAAAAATATGTACAAAGAGAATAGTAAAGTCCATCTCACTGCCTCAGGAACAGTATGAAATTAGGTCTAAGAAATCGAAAGTGAAAAGCATGATGTTTTAGGCTCATAAATAAACGTACTACATAAACTTATAACTAAAAACCTCGATAGTTCAGTTGTAGGAACTTACCCAAGATAAAATGCACAACTGTAGTCAATTACAACCACCAGGAAATACAATTAGACATTATATATAACAGAAGAATAAATACAAATTAGAGTCCACCATTTGTCAATAATTGTTGACTGATAAAATATTATAATAGACACTTTATGAAAAAAAATATAAAGTCTAACTAAATATTAAACTCTACAAAATAAAATCTAAAAAAAAAGAACAAAAATATCATACCTGAAGATAGCACACTTCAATTAATGTTGAAAATTTTAATATTTTTATTTTGAGAATGATATATTGCAACCTAAAAAAATGAAAACAAATTCAATATTGACATAATCAGGACTCATTAAAATTATGACAAACTAAAGAAAATTATAATAAAATAAAAAATTGAAGTATGTGAAGTAAACTTATTAGAAGTAACACAAAATAACAAAAAGGAACAGTAAAAAATAGCAAAAAAATGTATTTAGCCCAATTGCTTCTTCAATGTTGAATTTTATTTTCATTACTCTGTATCTCATATCTACAATTATGACTTTATCGATTAGAACTTTTGACAAACTGATGTACATCGAATGCACAAACACAATACAAACAGATTGCACCTTAAGAAAACAAATGCTTTTCTTATTTTTTGAACAACCAAAAACTCTTAAATACTAAAAGAATAGATAACTTATTGGCGAGCAGGCCCTTAATGCAAGCAAAATAAATCAATATTGAAAATCATGAAGTAAGAAACATTAAGTGCTGTTTTGAGAAATGGGGTCATGGGCCCAAAAAGGGACACTGTATGCAAAAGTTACGCCTTTTTTTCCGAACGCTGACAGACCATTTTAGGCTAGTCAAAATATTATTGTTCTGGACAATTTTAGGCTAGTCAAAATGTTATTGTTAGCATTGTAGTAATAAAAAAATGTTTCCATGCGCGCACTTCACACTATGCGGAGTTGGTGTGCGGAGTGTTCTCCGCACGGTCCAATTACGTTTTTTTCCTTCCTAAAAATATATTTATCTATATATATTTAATGTAAAATCAATTTTCATTAAATAAATATTAAAACTTTATTATATTATTAAATAATATAAAATGAATAAACCTTATCTTATCTCCTTCCACACATATCTTATCTTCATCATTTGTCTCCTCCATCCAAACTCTCGAAATTTTCTCCCATTTTACAAAACTTTTGTCTACTCCAAGTAATTCTCAATCTAAAAATACTCTCAGCGTCAATGGGGTCTAAAGAGATCACCCGAATTGCGCCTTATACATAACATTTCTCTCACATTTAACTGAAAATAATGTTGCTTTTCTACAGTAGATTTCTACCATAGACAATACAGAACAAAATCATCCTAAAAGATTTTTGTATACCTAACGGAAGAAAAGGAAGAACGAAAACATAAAATTAAACAAAATCGAAAAAACCGAAACCACTTACCAATGGAGATCGTTTTGCCACTTCACGGTGCTACTAAGAAAAAGTGAAAGAGAAAGGGTGGAGAGTTGGCCTATTATTTTTGATTTGGCATCAATATTATAGGCAATTTGAGAGCTTGAAAGCCGAATAATTTATTTGTTGTTTGAAATCAAAATATAATAAGAGAAGAAACTGTGCCATTGCAATTGCATTTAGTGCATTTGCATGTATAGTGTGGAAAGTGGCAAAATACAGTGTATTGAGTCGGTTCACAGATATATATATATATATATATATATATCTATATATATATCNGGATGAAACCGATTTCAAACCAGATCAATGTGAAAATCAATGTGAAGGGAAGGAGGGATTATTAACTACTTTTCACCAATTAATTAACTTTTCTATATGACACGCAGTTGTACTAAAAATTGAGTTGGCATTATGGAACTTACAAAGCCAACGCGCCAATGGATCTCAATCAAAGTTACTAAACATTTTTTATTAACTTATAAGCTTAATTATAAGGAGAGGCTCGTATTTCTCTCAAAAACATGTGATTCGAGTAGTTAGGGAAAATGCATTAGCTTGATCCAAAAGTTTGAACAATAGGTAGCTACCGAGCACACTCGTTCAAGTTTGAAGTATAAAAATGGAAGGGTCTAATTACACCAATTCATCTACAAATAACTTCAATCAGATAAGTTGTGATTTTCAATCGACCTGTCTAAAATATGATTCAAACTAGATCAGTACCGTCTTTCAAATATGAGGATCGACCTGCCCATAGACCCACCAATAGTATGAGCCAAGCGGCCCAAGCCTATCCAACCCCTTATATTTTTTATCTTCAAATTTAATGCAATTTAAACTAAATCTTAATTCAAAAAGAAATTAATATTTTGCAAGACATGGAGAATTGTGTAAAAACGTAGGGAAAAATGTATTTATTGCCAAAACAATAATTCATTAAAGTTTAGATAGAATTGTTCGGTTCAAAACTCGAAAAGAGCTCAATCACTTCTTTAGTTAACTATTATTTTATACATTTTAAATAATTGAGCCAATTGGATTTTGTCGACTAGACAATCAAACCCGACAGGACCCATTTATTATAACGTGCTAACCATGAACTAGCCCCAACTGAGCAAGTCGAACCGAACCAAGCTGGATTCGGTCCAGGTTGTTAACCAGTGGCTCATCCTAGACCTAGACAGAACAGTAATCCGAGGTCAACTACAAGTACTATCAAGCAAGAAGGTTCAAAAGGATGGCCAAGTTAGATAGGCCGACGCTTGTGACAATGCAATTAGATACTCGAGGTCAAGCTAAAGATTTAGATGCATCCACGAAAGTTGTTCTGAATCTTCTCAAAAGAGACCAACATAGCCCACGACGCTATTAAGAATGTAAGAACTTAGTACAAGTGTGTCGTACCATTGACAAAACAAATCACTACACCTTAAATCAACAAGTTATACTTTAAGGCAACCTCACCAAGGAAGCCCCCATCGTCAAAGAAAACATTCAACCCCTCAGGGTAGAAGCATCTTCAACAACTTAAGATGCGGTTCAAGTACTAGTAGCAGCATAACTATCTGATTTCAATGCTTTTCAGTTGTTCAATGTCATGTTATACAACTAAAAACAAAAATAAAAATTGCAATTAATCTAATGAAATACCATACAAATTGTCTATTAATATACACGCATCACCTCACTCACCAAAGATGTGAGCATAAATGNCCCTCACTCACCAAAGATGTGAGCATAAATGATGTTCACATGGATATCCGGCTTCGAATGTAAAATTGAGCAGAAAAGGATATTGTCTATATCAGATACTAGATGTACTCGAACATCCGAATAACAATTTTGTCCCCTGCTCAATTTCGAATTATTGAAAAGATTACCTCCAAGTGGAACCACCAATTCTAATCACTTCCTCGGTACCACTTGGCCTGTTAGGTCCGCTGTCTTTGTCATCTGTCTGGTTGCTCAGGTCACCATATAGATCTTTAAGCTTCGCCAAATTACTGGATGCAGATGTCTTTTCTTTGTTTACATCTCTGGCAGGACTCAGACGACTCCTTTCGTGCATGCTTTGACTCCTGCTTCTGCTGCGGCTTCGACTCCGGCGAGAACCACCTTCTCTGGAGTAGCGATCACCATCGCGGCTGCTCCTCTCATAATCCCTTCTATAGCTATCTCTGGACCTTCTATCATAATCATACCCCCGATCTCTGTCTCTTCCACGTTCTCGATCTCTCCCCATTTCCCGGTCTCTGTCTCTGTCCCTGCCATGGTCTCGGGAGTAATCCCTATCCCTATCCCTATCCCTATCCCTATCCCTTTCCATTTCCCTGTCCCCGTCTCTGTATCCTCTTTCTCTACCTCTATCCCTGTCTGAATATTCTCGATCAGATAAATCACGGCTCTGGCTCCTACGTATAGGGGACCGTCTTGAATCACCATCCCTATCATAAGAAGATGGTGGCAGCGTACGGCGAACAGGAGATGAATCCCTAGTTGTCGCACGATGAGGAGCACGTTGACCAAAGGAAACGGAAAGAGCAGCTTTGACAGAAGGTGGCCTCCGGGCAGTTTCCTCAGATCCACGGGTAGTCTCACCAGTAACCCCACAATGTTTAGTAGGTAGCTTCATATTTTCAAGATTGGCTACAATAGTTCGCATTACAGGAACTGGGATGCGGGGAAAAAGAGTATCGAAGTAATACTGCAGGCAGAAACCAAAAATTTCTGAGTTGTACGAAAGTGCAGAAGATAAAGGCTTGAAGACATAAATGCATCTAATAATTGGAACATTCTTTACCATTTGTAATAATAATATTATACCCTATCAGTAATCTAATCAATAAACCACAATGATAGGCAGGTCATTATAGGGCATTCTATCCAGTAACAGAAACAAGCTCATCCCTGAACCCCCTAATAAATGGCTCCTAAACATCATAAGGAACTCCACTCATCACCTCCTGTACACAAAAAGCAGTTTATGTGAAGAGTTTTCAATAGCAAGAGAACTACAGAAACATCAAATATTGCAAAAAATACATGTTATGGGGGCAGGTGTCCGATGGGGATTCTAGGAGAAATGGGATTAAATATAGCGTTTGATTTATACTAGAGTTTTGTTTAAGTAAGTTAAGATTAGAATAGATTAGTTTTGATGGTTCGAATAGGATGTAGCTAGTAGAAGTTCCTTTGAGTTTAAATTCTTTACCCTATATAAAAGGGAACTTATTTCAATTTGTACTAGACTATTATTGATAATGGATCTAAATTATATAATTTTCCACCTGAATTCTTCTCAACTCCTTTCTAATTTTCTCCTTCCCTTTTCTTCTCTCTACTTCCCTCCTCCCTTCACTCTAATTCCCTGTGTCATTCTCCATCAGTGTCATTTTCCAATTTTAAACAGCTGTGTAGAATCAAAGTAATAAAGAATTTGAAACCTTGAGGGGAAGTTCAAAATCAAGAAGCAGATTGTCAGATGGCAGCATAGAAATTGTGCTACATTAGGCCCTTGTTTGGTATGGATTAAAATTTTGATAAAAATCTAAGTCAAAATCAATAATTAATTGTAACCACACATTTCATGGGACCCACAATTTTTCAACCACGCATTCCCTCAACTTTTATCAAAATCTACTAAAAATCTAATTTTAAACTACACCAAACAGAGACTAGAATAGTATGTATAGAATTGGTAAAATGTTCCAGCTCCATTCACGAGATTTACTAATACAAAACATCAATTATAATGCAGCTGACAGTCTCCAATTACTAATGCAGGCTCAAACATACCTGGACCACTTATAACCCAATTCTTGCATATGTCAAAAATGATCTAAAATGAAAAGAATAAGCATATACAAAGATTATGTCCTAAAAACCTGAGCACAAGAATAACAAGTTGAAAAGATTTACTAATGCTGTACACTGGTCCAGTTTCAGTGTTTTTTTTTTTTTTTTTTCATTATATTATGTGCTACCTGGAAGTTGTGGGTGTTTCCTGGGTAATGTCTTTAATTCCGATGTCGTCAAGACTATGGGTTTCATTTTGAATAAAAACGGTGGGGATAATTATGTTAATTGCTTCTTCAATAAGTAAAATTGAAAGATCAAGGGTTTACCCCTAAAAACAGTGCCATTGTTTAACTGAATACATTAAAGTTCAAATAAAAGTGCTGGTGATAAGTCTGCAAATATTTAGAATGAATTACAAGAAAGTGAGAAGAACTAGTGGAGTACGGTAAGATCCAAAAATACCTATCGAGTTAAAAGGAAAGATATATAGACCAATTAAAAGATAAATGTCTCTAAGATAACCATAGCAGAAATTATTGTAATACTACCAAGCCACAATAGAATTGAAACAAAAAAGATCAGAAAGTAGACCATACACCAATTGAAAGTGACACCATACCAAACATAAAGTTTATTACGTGAAATATTACAGACTAACTATCAATACATTCTGCGAAGAGGATTAGAAAAATGGATAAACTTGGAGAAAACACAAGCAGTTTGATATGGCCAACAATCAAAGGCAATCTGTAGCACCTTACCTGTCCAAGAAGCAAGTCGCGCACATAAACACCCATCGTGGTCATTCGGCCATTAGAACCAGGAGAGAATTCCTACAATAGTATATAGTGTTCAAATAATAAGCTTTCTACATTAGCATTTCTAAAGTTAAGACTCAAGAATAAGATTTAGCAGGTCAAGAAACAAAACCCAAGATATTAGTTACACGATCAAGGCTTACACCAGTGCAGCACTCGAGGATGCCCCAATACAACTCAGGAAGATTTGTTAAAGATGACAAATATTTTCTACGAGCATCTCAAAGCACTAGTTCCTCGAATGCCATTTGGCCCATTTCAACCCAAAAAGTCTCAACTCCCATTGAACTAATATATATAGCCCCTGTTTGACACACATTCTTCAATAAAATAATATTTTTTCATCACATCAATAACTTTTCCTTACTTTTTAACTACACATTTCCCATCATATCATTATTTAAAATACATTATTTTCTTAATAATATCTATCAAACACACCCATATTACAAGATTTTCGCAAAGGTGTGGCTTATCCACAAGCAGATTGACTGCAAAAGAATGTATCACTAATGAATTATAAACTACTTTCATCGTGAGCATCATGTATGCAAAACAGAAGCTCGGAAAGTTACATAAGAGCTCTATCACATGTTACCAAAAGAGAAGTCACATTCTCAATAACAGACACCCATACTGCATCAAGAAAAGACTTCTATGATTCGGCCATCCAGAAAGAGGACATTTAATTGACTTGTCAATAGATGCAAAACAACATATCATGATGCCCCATCTTAAATGAGAACATATACATTTGCATGGAATTATCACCGAGAGAACAAAAGGAACACTGGTTAGCCGGAAAAATATTGACTCCTATGATGCATGTCACAGTGTTAATTCAATATAATTGACTTATCAAATGATGCAAAACACACATGGCAGGATACACCCATCTTAAATGGGAACATACACAAAAAGAGTACAAACAAACAAAACAAAATCAAAGGTGTGTCCACTCTAAGAGAACCACGTCGGTATTCCAACCAGATATCACACTTTGACTACACTGGTCAAGTATCTAACTAGTTGCCAAAGCCAGAAACCATGATAACATACAAGTAATTCACATCTAAATTGAATTAATCATTACCCAGTTTTTCGTCATCAACTATCAAATTCCTATTCAGAGGAAGACACCTATACTGCATCAAGAAAAGTCATGGTAACATTACGCACACTCATTTATTACTTCAAATAATATGAGAACAGCTCGAACTTAAAAGTTCAAGAGTAATTCAACAAGAGTTGAGAAGAAGGAATTAGACAGTGCACCTTTTTCATACCTCGTCATCTTTCAAGTATGGCTTGTACCAACTCCATAATGTCTTTGGATCTGCAACATATCTTAAGTAGAGAAATCCAATCTGCAAAAGTAATTGCGATCATTAGCCTCAAATTAAAGGCTCACGCCAGCAAAAAATTGGCCATACTATCAAAATGAGTTCTTACTACCAAAAACCAATAAAAAAAAAACATGTTCCTAAATACTTACTTGAAGTATGACCATACTATGAAGCCCTAATATGATCATGACAAGATAAAAGTATCAAGGCTGTCAAATAAAATGTTATATATTATAAATTTATCTTTTGTGATTCTTTTATTTTTCAAATAATTACCTATTTTAGATTCGGTTTCGACTATTTTTAGTGAAATCTTTTGAATGAGAAGTAGCTATTTGTAACAAGATAACTGTTTATTATATTCCTTGCTACTGCTTCCACGTGGGGCGTGCAACGTGTGCCTAACGAGTGTAGGACTAGTATGCATCAGGTGTTGAAAATATAAGAGCATATATATATATATATAAAAGGACGTGACATGGCATGTCAGGACATTCTCTCAAAGTGTTCGATTAGTGTTTGTATCTAAAAATGTTGGAGATCGATACTCCGCCAAAGGGGGAGTACCTGCGCTTCACCAATCTGACCATGTACCCAAACATGGTAAGCATAAATTGTATATGTTCTCACCTTCAATGCGAAGTGAACCATTACGATGGTTGCAAAAGCTAGAACCAATGCCAAAAACACATATCCAAGAGGTAAAAGATCAGTTTAAAGAGTTATCACATAACTTGCAAGTTGCAACAATTACAACTCTCCATTGAATAATAAGTGGTAGATTCAGAATCTTAATTCGTTAGTACCAATAGTTGTACTTTCAATCTTAAAGCTATCTTGTCATTTTTATTTCATTCAAGTTGAATACAACAGTATACACAACTCAGTGCAGTCCTTTACCTGGCAATGATGAAGTTCCATTTACGCAAATTATAATGCCAATAGTGGGCCAATAAATATCAAATGATGGGTTTCCAAGGAATACAAATATCCTCTGGATTTTTTCAGATTTGGCAAGCATGTAGAATAACTAGTGAATTATAACTTTATTGTACCACAATCGGTGCATTGGTCTTTGCAACATTAATGTTTTTAGCTGGTTGGTTTCATTATCATAAGCAGCCCCAAAATTGGCAACTATGCAGCTTTATGGGATGAAAAAGGCGAAGTTGGTTCTTGAACTACGTACTTTCTTTCTCAGTCGGGATCTAGGAGGAAGTCTTTGGAATGTTGGCATTTGCGTAGAGTCAAACCAGTTTCCATGTTTTGTAGTATATTTAAATCTTGAAGGTCGTTTTTCCAGCATGGCATTGACCTTTTAAAATGGTCGAAGCAGTCCAGTGGGTTGTCTGGCCTCGTCTTGAGATGGGAGTGGGTAATTATTCATGAGTCGAAAGGTCAATCAGATTCTCCACCATTTAGAGCATTCAATTCTTGTATGGAGCATGTGTGTTTCTTCCCAATGTCTGTGTTTGGTTTTTTCTCTTTCCTAATTATATAGGCTCATAATGAATTTTTCAACTGACTTCTGTTTTATTCTGATAACTGTCATGGCATTAGAAAGTACAAATTACTCACATCCAGGAACTAGAAATACCATAGTCCATAGCAATGGCATCATTTCCATATTTGCATCTTCAAGAAGCTGGTTTGAATAACTGAAAATTACATGACACCAGGGCATGAAAAATACCCCTTAAGTTTTCTTTCGCCTGACCTGCCTGTATCCCCACTAGCCGACCATTTAAGTCGCTCCAAAATTTTACCATGTAGGAGCATGACAGACTGACAGTATTGGTTTTTAACCAAATTATGAGGTCTTCAGGCATTTCTTGTACTTGAAAAATCCATGTTTTCTATATCATAACAATAATATTGATTTCTGCTCATAATATGTCCAGCCTCAAAATCACAAAAATGTGACCGCCAAAAGCACAAGGGAAATTGACACAAGCGTCAGATGTGTTCCCCACAACATCAATTAGTCACTGATTCCTCATCATTGAAGACTATCTAAAGTTTGAGAATATCACATATGTAATTCAGTACTGTGCAGTTCATTGGACCCCAAAAAAAAAAAACAAATATGGCGTACTTACTGCTCTAATGTAAGGAGAATCTGGGTGCTTCAGTAGCCCATGCATTTGCTTGACAGTGAGTTTCATGGTGAAGAACTTGTAAAGAAGGCAGTATGCCGTCGAAGGACCCCGACAGTTGCCGGTCATCCATGGCTCCACATGGGTGACGGTAACGTAAATCTCGTCTATCACTTCATGATAAGTTTTCAATCTCAACAGGTCCCGAAAGTAATCAGAAGAGAGTATATTCATGCAAAGGACTTTCTCCAGCAATTGATCAATAGGTCTTCCGGATGACTTTATGTCGGCCATGCTATATCATTCAATGAACTGATACCACCAAATAAAATGTTAAAAAATAGAATATCAAAGATTATCATAGCAAAATGATGAATTAGAATTAACAACAATTTTCTCTCTTTTATGGCATAATTAATACCTTTTTTTATGGCATAAAGGAATCAGTTCATTTAAATTATAAAAACAATAATTTTCTCTCTTTTTATGGCATAGTTTCAATTTTATTTCAGAACCTCAAGTGTAATTTTCAATTGAAGACAATATAAGATAGCAGGAATGCTAAATTTCCAGTAAATTTGAAACCCCGAGTTGTCAAAAAATTGTGCAATTTAGGTAATGGATATAAATCAAGCTATTTTAAAAAATCATAAACTGAAACTCAGATTAGGTTCCAATCAATATTAACCTGAAATCACATTTTCAAAGCTCAAATTTTGCATTCAGAACACAGCACAAGAACACTAAACTTATATTAATTTAATTACCATTTCATATTCATTTTCATTCACTTAAACAGATAGAATTGTGCTCATTATAGATTTCAAAGCATTGGAATTATGAAAGACAGAAAGCAATCAAGAACAAATTAAATTAAAAATTGTGCTTATTTTTGATAATTTGCTACATAAATAATTTCAGAGAAAAGAAAAACATTTGAGTTTTCCCTTACCTTAAAGAGGAGATCAAGAGCGAAAGGGGGGAATACAAGCTTTTCGAGATGTAATTTTGAACCCTAGAAGGATTCTTTAAACTTATGCGAGTCCTGAGTTATGTGGAAAAATCAAAATCGGGCCTGAATCTTGATACGATTGGGCCCGATCTTATTACAGACATATGAATCCAGTCCTCAACCTTTATTTCTTGACATTTTTAACGCAAGTTTTTAAAAAATTGGCAATCATCGTCCTTAGCAACAGCTTTGTGTAATATTGTCGTAAATGATAGAAAGACAAAATTGCATCCAAACTTTAAAATAGATAAAAGATAGAGATGGTCAATTCCTTATCTCCTATAGTTATCTCAATCTTCTATCCGTTATTGTTATTTTCTCTAACTGAATAAAGAAAAGTTTTCAAGGTTAAGCAAAGCCTTCAACACATGCCAAAAGTCGCCTACTTGGCTACCCCAATCCCAACTCACCATTGACCATCTACGCACATCGCCTCCTGTTGCTGTTAAACGGTAGGTGTTAATATATAGAAGGTTGAAGATATGAATGTCAAGAAATAAAGATTGAGGATAGAAGTGTAAAATGTAAAAAAGTTGAGGATGATACTTGTAATTTGCCTTTTTAAGAATTGGCTCTACCATTTTGATCCAAGTTAAAGGGTTAATGGTGATCCATTGAGATGGAATTATTAATAAAAAAAATTTAAATATATTAATAATTTTATTCCTAATACTTTGAAGGGAATAAGAATTTTTTTGAAAACTTACTAATGATGGTTTTTCTCCATTTCAGCAACTCTATCATGATCAAACACAATAATTTCTCATCTCCCACAGGTGGATTATTTTGTATTCCTTTTGAGAAAATAAAATGGGTAAACTAAGCCCTTGTTTGATACACGTTTTTTAAAAATATATTATTCCAAAACTCTTTTTTAAACACCCATTCTTCAATAAAATAATATTTTTCATCACATCAATAATTTTTCCTTAATTTTTAACCACAAAACCCCTGTTTGACATATATTATCTCTAAATAGATTTTTTCAAAATTCACATTCTTTAATAAAATAATATTTTTCATCACATCAATAACTTTTCCTTATTTTTTAACCACATATTTCTCATCATATCACCATTTAAAATGTATTATTTTCTCAATAATATCCATCAAATGCAGCCTAATTTTGGTTTACCTGATTTTTGAGTGAACCAAAATGTTTAGATATTCTTTTTAGCGAGTTTTGACATTTTCAACTTCTTTAAGTTCAGTTGATTTAGATATTTTGACTACCATCGAGTTGTATAGGAAGACTTTAAATCATGGGTAAAGCCATTTGTACAGAAAATAGCTATACTCTAGCTTACGGATGCATATGTGATGGAAGATGAGCGGTTGTATGAAAAATATTTTTTTGCAGCAAATGATGTGAGATAGTGTCAAATGCAAATTCTATAAGTTAAGATGTAAACGAGGTTGTACATGGAGCATGATTGTTAAGTCATTGAAACTTCTAACATTTGTATTTTTCCAACTTGCCCCAGAATAGGTACCTTTAGGGGTGAACCAAAAATAGTCAATCAAATCGAATCGAAATTGTAATTTTGAAATCGTTAATTTGGTTTCACGTGGACCAATTAATGCTTCATTTTCAAACCATTTGGAAATTATTTGGTTTAGGTTTTGATAATTAAAAATCACCTTGAAATCAAACTGAAATGTTCGCCCAATGTAAAAGAATAAAAAGTTACTTGTTTTACTCAGAATATATTATTTATTAGTTTAATTTATACTTGAAAAAATAATTTGCTAACTGGTTTCTGTTTTTATTAGGGAAATTGCAAGATTTTTATCCACGTTTTTCAAGATTCGCCCAACATATATATATTCAATTTCAGTTTATGTGAGCAAATCCCTTTGTATTTATGTGAGCGAAATATATATATTCAATTTCAGTAAAATGACATAAAATAATAATATATATTTGACCTTTTGTTTTAAAATATATTTTTTAATTATAGTTTTAGTCTAGCAATGATTCAACGGTTGAAAATTTGTCCGGGTCAAAGATCTAGTTGACTCTGATAACTATGGATATAACGTCATCATTTCCACTCTAAAATTTCATGTCTACATACATTGATTCTCTCGTTTCGGGATAAAGCAAGACATTGAGGGGGATTATCAAGAAATCCAAGTTGAAGAAATGAAAATAAATTACAAAATTTACTTTTAGATCGACATCGTTGTCCACCACCGACCACCATCAACCACCAACAATTTTCATCATCACCACCAATAACAGCCGTCATACGATACCACCCTCACATCCAACCATCTCTATTAAATTTGTCACCACAAACTTCACTGTATCTTTCATTGCTGAACATCAACATAATTCAAATATAAAAATGCAGAGATCAAATTAAAAATTTAGATGTGGGGTTGAAAATCTGCCATCACTAACTTATCTCACCTCTGCCGGCAATGAAAATCGCCACATTTCGAATCTGGAATTAGAAATAGGGTTGTTATATTCGCACAAAATTTTTATTTATTACATCACATTTTAGTTGCATTTAAACTCCTCAATTTTTGCTTGTTGTAGCAATTATTTTCTTAATTTTTTTCTTCCAATTCTTATATTCAAACTTCCATTAATTAGTACATCTTATTCTTGATATGTTCGATCAACAGAGGGAGCCTTCCTAGCCATTGCTACACAATCACCGATGAGATCATGATGATGTGTTAGGTGGCGATGAGATCTCGATGGTGGTTATGACGGTGGTTTGCAGTGATGGAGACCGACGGTGTTAGGTGTTGATGGATAGAGATAGCTGCACGACCACCGTCCAAGTTGGAAAGAAAAAAATTAGAAAATTTAATTTTAGATTGACACCGTTGTCCAGCACCAACCACAGACCACCATCCACCACCAACAATTTCCATCTTCACCACCAACAACAGTCGTTATACACTAACAATGGTGTGTATGCTTGACTCTCTAGATTTTGAGGGTCAATCGACTCTTTACCTTTAGAGCTACGTCACTCATAAGCTCTACTTAGCCGTAAGTGATGTGATTTTAATTATTTGAAATCTTAAGTCCTACATCTAAGAAGACAATTAAGATGACAAATTAATTAAAATCATCTAAATGTCACATCATTGCTTGTGAGTAAGCAATGTTATGAATAACAATTATCCTACTTTAACTTTTATGTATAAGTGCTTATGTTTCTACCAGCCTTTGGTTCGGGGTTGGGACTTGTGCTTCAGGTGGTTCCGACAGCTGTGGCGAGTGCTTGGGTTAGGGCTCCGTCTTTCTGGCGATCGGCCTCCCCTAGACTTGGTCCATGGCGTTTATTTTTCTTGCCCCGGCCTCGTGGCTGTGGCGGTTGGTTTGTGGAGGAGGCGTTCCACGACGGTGGTTTTGATCACTGGTGTAGCAGCCGACCCTGTTTGGTGTTTATCTATTTTTTTTCGATTTTTTAGATTTTGGTCCTGTTTGGATGTTGTTGTAGCCTATGTTTGGGCATTGGAAGCACTTAATCCCTCTGAGGAGGGCATTGTGTTGGAGTTTTATCCTCCTTGTATCCGTTGGCTATTTCGATGTTCTATGAATTGTTATTTCAAAAAAAAAAAAATTGACTCCTATAAGTCTCTGTTTGGTGGCTAATTTTTGGGAAAATATTATTTTGAATAGTGAATTTTTGGAGAATATGTGATTAAAAAGTAAGGAAAAGTTTTGATTTTACGTGTATAATATTTTATTGTATAAATGTGTTGTTGAAAATGAGTATGTGAGAAAAAAAGTTTTGAAAAATTCCGTTCTCTTTGTGTTTCAGTTTTGTGTTTTGAGTTTTGAATTCATTTTGTATTTTGCGTTTTGAGTGTCTGTTTTGAGATTTCTGAAAATGCGTTCTTTTTATCATTCTGAAAAACTGTTTTGAAAAACATGAAAATGGAAAACGCGTTTACTTTGAAATTTTGAAAATATTTTTGTAATAATATTTTATTCAAAAATATGATTATTCAATAAATTTTAATAGTTTAATATTAATATAATATTAAATAACATATAAAATTTGAAGTTGGTGAATCTTGAAATATTTGTTTCCAGATATAAAAAACACATTAAATTAAATTTGACAAATTCTTATTTTTGTCCTTGTACGTAACTTGTGACAATAATTAACTAGTATCAAATAACAATCAATGCTTCCTTGCTTTAGTAATGAGCTAAAATAACAATGGTCTTCAAATGAATCAAACTAAC